AGGCTGTCCAGAGCCACATCCAGCGTGGCCTTGAATGCCTCCAGGGATGGGGCATCACAGCCTCCTTGGGCAACCTGTCCCAGTGCCTCACCACCCTCTGGGTGTGAAGCACTTCCTCCTAAAATAGAGGAAGTCTTTCACGCAGAATCTCTCACCCCTCTCCACTTCTTACACAGCTACAGTTGTACTCAAAAATAATTAAGACTGTGCACGCAGATTAGTACTTATTAAAAAAAAAGATCTGATTAAGATTGAGGTGGGGAAGTGGAACGCTATGGAGAAGTAACTAAAAGCATATGTAACTCTGAGCACCACTTAGAAGGGTTTATTGGTAGTAAAAGTTGGACTGTGGGATTCCTTTATTTTTATTTTCCTAAATCAACTCATTGAAATAAGGATGTTCCAAGTGTCATGTAATATTTTTATTGCAACAAGGCTCAGAAACTACAAGCTCCATTTTCCCAGCTTCTGTAAAACACAAAGCAAAAAGACCACCTGAGCACCAAGAAGCTGTGAGCAGCACTGCAAGCCTCAGCCTCCATCAAAACTCAACACAAAGTATTAAACAACCACAGTCAGCTTCTCTCCACATTTAAAAGGTAACAAAAAAAGCAAGACCTGGATTTATCAAAGCACCATGCTCGAGTTTAACCCTATTATCCCTAGGAACTGCTGGTATTTATGCATGGGACACACACATGATCCAGACCATCCAGTAACAGAAGTGTTAACAGGAAAGAAACCAAATGAGAGCAATGGTCAAATTATGAAGCACAGTTAGGAGATAAAACCAAAAAATGCAGCTGCCTACAACTAAAGAGCACTGCTCACTAAGTCACACAGTCTGGGGACAGCATCATCGTCCCTCCTCCTCTCCAGGCATGCACGGAACCACTGCACAGCGCATTTCCACGTGGGTTTTGGTAAGGGTGGAGGCAAGTCTGTGTACCTGAGAACAGCTCTGAACTATTCTAATGAAACATTAAGCTTCTGTGTTTAATACTGAAACTACAGAGATCACTGCACTGTAAGCCCTGCAGTCAGACATCCCATTACCTGAGCAGAGGGCCGCCTTCACTCCTCTCCAAGTCACCCCAAAAACCATGATGAATTTCATTCAAGGTACAGCAACCCAGAAGAGTTTTGTTCAAACAGTCATTAAATTTTAGCATGGTTCAGCCTTTGCTGTTGTGGCTTTTCTGAACAAATGTTTGGGAAACACAGGCAGTGCTGTAGAGCCACAACGCACTTCTCAATCCATTTGATGTTCATCGAGTAACTGCAGCTGAACTTCTGGCAAGAACAAGGATACCAGAGAGACCTCTTAGTGCAGAATGCTCATACGGCCACTGTAGTCTAAATAAACGCACACAAGCACTGAGCATACAGAAATTTTACTGAGAGTACATTTGGCTTCTACAGTTTCTGTGAAGAGCTGCTATAAAGGGAACCACAGATACCTTAATGGCAAAGTCATTCAACAGGCAGCAGTAGGCAGTTTATTTTCTTCCTTTTCAGAGCCCTTTTTCACTATTAGCATCTTCCAGAAGCAAGACATAGTGCTCAGCACATAATTACCTCACTAGTCCATTGCCATGTCATTTCTTATATCACATAAACCCATACATCCCCATTTTCTCCTTAAAAAATGGAGACAGCGAGTGGTTTAGGTAATTACAGCTGTCATGGTGGGTCTGACAAATCGTTCCTCTGCTCAATATATGCTTCAGGCCACTGGGAAGGCTGTCAAACAATGACATCAGAGTCTGCATTACAACTGGCAAAACGCAACTCCGTTTCCTTTCAAATCTAACTCGGATGGTTTACAGCCACTTCTTTTCCTATTCCACAGTTGAAAACGAGAGTGGAATGAACAAACGGGTCATAATTCAATCCAGATAAAATGGGGATGGATAACGGCTGTTAAATGAAGGAGCTTGAACCAAAGAGACACACATCCCTGCCTTGCTAACGAAGTTTCCTCATTATTCATCATCAGTGGGATTTGTAATCTTGAGTCATTTCCTAAACCCCCGAGCGGTAAGGGATGAGCAGGAGGAACAGCTGCCTGCCCTCCTCAGTGCCCAGGTGACCATCACCACCACTCCCTGGGCACGAGCCATCCCACACGGACAGCAGACTGCTGCATCACACACACCACCAGCTGCCCTCCTGCTCACCCACCGCAGCCCATGGACCACCTCCAGCGTGATTCTAAGCTGCTTTTTCTCTCTTCTAATCCTTACCTCTTATGCGATCTTAACTCCAGCTTGAGTACGAAACAGCCAGGAACTCAGTATAAACTCCACTACCTGCCCTGAGCAGTGGTTCCAAATGCATGGGGCTTTGGCAGCTGGACGGCAGCAGCACCCAGAGGCAGCTGAGGCTGTGATATTTCCAGTAAAAAGCTCTGTGATTGAGGCCAGCGATTGCATGAGGATCCTGGTTTTCCCACTCCCACGTAACAAATCTTCTGTTTATTCCCTTACTGCAGCCAGGTGACAAGGAGGAGCTGCATGCAATTTGCCCTGAAAACTGTATAGAAACACCATGTAGGAAAAAAGCTCAGGTATTTATTCCTAGTATGCGCTAGAAATAAACACATCCTTTTAATAACTGGTATTTGTTACAGTTTGATTAAAATAAAAAACAGTAATTGCTTTCAGGATACTTGTTGAGCACAGCCCTCCTTCAGGACTCTCTTTTCAGTGTTTGTTCTTTAATTACTTTTAATTTCCTTCTCAGAGAGGTCTGACAAAGTATTAATGACAGAAAAAAAAACAGTCAATTAAAAATTACTGTTCTGCAGCAAAATATACTTTAGCAAATGTGAGGGTGTTAAAGCAGTACAGTAGGTTAGCACTTAAATAAACCCTTCCTTTCATATTTTGCTTTCAATCAGAAAGCAAAGCAGTACTGCCTGTCCTGAACTGTGTTCATCACATCCATTTTGTAGGTATTTTGGACTCTTAGCCACTAATGATCTCAGTGCAGTCCAGAGCCACCTGGAAAGCAGGTAAAACAAAGGAGGGGGGGGAATATAAGCTGCTTAAGTAAGGTTACATGAATTGGGGTTTGGTGGAGTAAATACCTCTGGAATCCCCATTCAAGTGAAACTATTTATTCTGTTAGCAAATAGAATTAGGAAATGAGTTTATGCAACAAGCAGCTACTGCAGCCTGAGCACTGCAGATAGCACAACCACCAACTCCTGGCCTAAGGAAGATCCCACGCCTTTCACAAGGATTTCCCATTTCAAAATGCGCTTTTTTGGGGCTGATATCTGATTGTGTCCTCACATCACCGACCTCAAAACCTGCACTGGGTACCCAGCTAACCCTGCTCCTCCTGCTGACCGCCTCAGTGGCTCAACTGTGCCAACACCTCCTTCCAGGCAAGCCTGTTGGTTCTGCTGAGGCTTGGGGCTACGCTGGGTGCCACTTTTAGCAGCGTAGTTGCATAAATGAGGGATGCGATTTGCTGCCACATCTTGAAGATGGAGGCAATAACAGCAACGTGCAATTATTTTTCTTACTGCAGGAATGGGAATGAGCTGTACCAGTACGACATGATTCATGCCAGAGAAGCGTCTATTCTGGCACATAAAATGGATCAAGATTTGAATATATATTCTTTCACCTTTGTTTTTACAGCTGTGAAGCAATTCCATTGATTTTTTGGGAAACATCAAACGTGCTTCAAGTCTTTGCAGCACAGCATGCAAGAAGGCACCAAGTCTCCAGTCTACGCTCCAGTGGGTTATTCTAGGTGTTTATTACACCCAGCACACATCTATGCTTGTTACAGTGCTATTTGTGGCTACCACCACGTAGCTGCGAGTTTCACAACACAAAGAAATCAATGCCGAGAAAGGTGTGGACTAAACCTGTACCTGAGCACCCAGCTGACAACTGAGGATAAGAAACGCCTGTGTGGAGTTTATTCATTGCCTCAGCCTTTTCCAAAGCAAAAAAGTCATTGAATAAACAGCACTGACAAAAAAAAAAACCAACAATAATAAAGTACACAACGTAGTTATCCACAGTGGTGTTAAAAGCTGACAATTCAAAAAGGATGTCCCCCCTCATTTAACAAGCTTTGCTTCTTACAACTTAGGAGCAGTTGTTGCTCTTGGTAAGGCTCACTGTGATAACAAGCAGACAAAAGTGTACGGCATGCACTGCCGCTTATTAGAATTTAATGCTTCTTGAACAACGACAATGCAAATATTCATCACAATAGATGGGAACCTTGGTGGAAACAAGAATTCCCACAAATTGTTTAAGAGTACAGTAAGTGAATGGCATTATAAACAAAAAGCCTCAATCTCCCACCAACGTATGGAGAATTCAGTGCAGATTAACCCCCTGTGCATCCATCTTGGAGATGCATTTGTGAAGAGCCCTTCAAAGCAGACAAACAGCAGTTTATACCCCGACAAGGAGCTATACGTTAGAGAGGCTCTCAAGTCAAACTCACCACGTTTGTCTCGAGGAGCTACAAACCCAAACCACGAACAGCAGAGCAGCAGCAGGTGCTCACAGCTCTGCCTTCAGCACACCTGGCAGCCGGCAGGGCAGGGTAAGGAGCAGGAGGTGCGTACAGGTACGTGCACACACACAGAGATGTCTACACACACAGATGTCTGCACACACGTACACCAAAACAAGAAGTTGGCTGGCAAAAACCACATCCGCGAGCAGAAGGCGCCGCAAAAAGCCTCTGTAAAACTCATCCTCGGAAACACCGAATGGGAGGCAGAACGGCCCAGCCTTACGGAGCGATCCCCGCCCTGCCGCCGGCAGACCCCAACGCGCCCCGGCGGAGCGCCGAGAAGGGCGGGGAGCGGAACCGCGCGGCGCAGCGGCTCGGGAGGTGGCACGGCATCGCTGATAGCGGGCACCGGGCACCCCGTGGCCCCACCGCGCCCCTCCACCCTCGGGGCCAGGCACGGCGCTGCGGGCGCTGTCCCTCCCGTCCCGTCCCGTCTCGTCTCTCACCGGCTCGGGTGGTGTCGCTGAGGTCGTGGTTGGCGGCGCTGGCCCGCGGGTAATCGCGCAGCTTCCTGCCGCTCAGGCTGAGCGTGCCGCTGGCCGCCGCTTCTTCCAAAGCTCGGTCTAAGGATCGGCTCCAGGAGCCGGGGCCCGCGGGACCGGCCGGAGGAGCACACGTCGCCGCGCTCCCCATCGGCATCGCGGCGGAGCCGCCCTCCGGCGCCGCCAGCACCGCGGCCGCCATTTCCCCCCTCGCAGCGCAGCCCCAGCCGCTCTCCGCCGCTCCGTTCGCGCGCCGCCGCGCAGGCGCAGGAGAACCCGCCGACTGGCGGCGAGAGCGCATGCGCGTGCCTTGACAGGGGGCGCGCGGCGCGCACGCGCGGCCGCAAGGCTCCCTCCGTCCCTTACCCGGCACCTGGCTAACAAACGGCGGAAAGCGGCCATTGCTTAGGGTTTTTTTGTCAGTTGTTTCGGTAATCCGGTGTGCGGGGGTGCGCACCTGCCCTCGACAACGGCTGCAGCGCTGGCAGCGTGGAAAAGCTCTAGTTTAGGTGCCAGGCGGTGTGGGACGCTGCTGCTCAGTGCACCGTCAGGAGCAAGGAAAGAAAAAGGGAAAAAAAAAGTGGATTTTTGAGCGAAGTGGGAAAGTAGGAGCTGTTGTGTGCTTTCCCATGGCAGTACCAAAGCTTGAAAGGTGTTTGTAACGGACCTATCAGACCTGAGTTCTGGGTGATGGTATATGAATCCAGGAGTTGGACCTCACGGGTCCCTTCCAGCTCAGGACATGCTGTGATTCTGTGGCTGTCAATAAATGCCAGCAGAAAGCAAAGAGCTGCTCAGAATGACACTGCCACACGGCTGAAGCAGGCGGCCATACGGCTCCCGTGCTGCAGACGGTCATTGTGCTGGGAGCACTCACCAGTCAGCACCTTATCCAGCGCTTCCATACAAGCAGTGCTTTGTTCCTCCACCACCAGTTAACGGCAGCATCGCTATTGCTTAACGCCGATTTGCCACCAAGCACTCACATCAGAAGCTTGCTGCAGCCGCTTATCGGGGTGTTCACACCCACCCTGCAGCACAAAGCAGGGATTGCACGGACTCTGCATTGGTAAGGCACATCACAGCAAAATGAGTACGCAGATAGGTTAAGGGACCTGGTGTGATAACCACACCAAACCAAGGGATTTGACAGTGCTGCTGGAAAGCACATCCCTAATTCTTGTAAAGGCAAGTGAGCTTACACAGCACCACTGCAGTAAGTGATTAATTGCAGGATATGAGCAATGAGCACGTGCCCTCTTTACATTACTCTGCTTACTGTTACCTTCTTCATAACATTTAATAACAATTTGATCATTTACAGCTCCTTAAGAAAGATACCAGAACATTCACAAAACCAACACGTTGCCCAAGCAGTTACAATAGCAACAAGACACTATGAAACCTTTAACTTTTTTATTTGGAAAAAAAAAAAAAAAAATTAACAGCTTCAGAATAGATCAAACTTCTTCAAAAAATACCAAAAGGTACAGTGTAAAGCATCTTCTCATTAAATACAAACTGGTATTTTTTGATGCATTGCATCAATGTTTTGCATCTACGTTGATGCAAAAGGATTTTCTTTTTTTGTTGCATCCTGGCACATGGAAAATGTATACACTGAAACAGAATGAGCGACACCACATTATTTACTCAAATTCTAACAGTGAGAATTTTCAGAAAAAATCCTATCAGTAATTAAGAAAAAACCACCTTAACACCATTACGCTCGGTTTGTTTCTGCTAAGGTATATTTGTCAACATCAAAAATAAGGGTTTAAGTACTATATAGCATCGAGGATGCATTCTGACTTAAAACTGCTGCATGATGAAAGCTCTTCTACAGTCAACGCTTTTAAACATTGAAGTCTCCAGTAAACGCGAGTGAACAACGAACTTGAGATAAAAACGCAAGGAAACTGGTTTTGTAAGAAGTTCAATGTAAACTCTTCAAGAAAAATAAAAAGAATTAAAACCACTCCAAACACCGTAAATGTTGATGGATGCAGCAAGCTGACCATTCCTTCACCTGGCTGTACCTCAATTGCATTGCTGTAGAACAAGGTTCAGTCGATCAGAACCTGGGCTGGAAGCGGCTTTATCTCTATGTTCATTCTGAACAGGTCCCACATCTTTAGGGATGATACAAACCAATACTGGCAATGACTCAGTTGTTACCATCCTGCAAATTCAGACACACAAAGCCAAGCCTCACGTAAGTGTCCACGTGCTCCTGCTTTAATGCCTCACCTACACTGCTGGACTGTGGGCTTTCTCCCAGCAACATTCCCCACCTTCAGCCAGCTTCAAGATGCCTGACCACTACTGAGCCTCACATCTCACCTCTCTTTGGTATATACAAACAGGCGCCATTGGATTGCATGCTTCTGGCCATTTGCACAAAGCAGAGAAAAGCCTCCAGGGCAAGGTTTGCAAGATAAGGATCCTGTACCTGGGGGGTAAGGAACTCTACCATACCACTGACCTTCTTGTGAACTGTTACATTTATTCCTATGAAATTACTTAAAAATGTAAGGTTATTGCCTTCAGTTTGAGGAAAAAAACAACACAAAAGAAAATAGTAAGCAGTTGCTCAAGGAAAAAGATAGGAGACAAGACATACTCTATCTGCAGATGATGCTAAAGTTGTCCAGATATTTGTAGTATAAGTTGCTTTCACATTGCCTGAGCAGTATTCTTCTGAAGTGACCTGGACCACTTTTAAAGGGTAAGAGTAGAATGGTCTCCATCCCGATTTAATATCATGGGTCTCAACTAACAGCTTTATTTGTGAAAAAGAGGATGCAAAACATTAAGTCTTCAAGAAAGAAAAGAAAAAAAGTTGAACTTCAAAAGCACAAAGAAGTACAACCAATGCTCCCATGAAAAATGTTGCTACATCACTACCAAAGTATTCACGGACCGAGGCTCTGTGCCAAACTTCAGTCCAGAGGAACGCTCGTAGGCAGACCCCAACACCATAAAATGGTAGTTGTAATGAAACACTGACACAATCTTTACTATAACAAGGTGTCAAAGAACAGATACTGAGTACTTTTAAACAAACAAAAAAAGCTTTTAACTTCATGTTTATATATTGATTGCAAGATGAACCAAAATCAGTGTTTGTCAACATCTGGGCAACAGAATCTGTTCCAACCGGGTAATGGTGTCACTTTAGCAGAACAGTTCCCACACTCTTCCCTCCTTTCAGGGCAAAATGTCTTTACTGTTCAAAGTGGAAGTAATAAAGATAGCTATTTCTGACACCACCTTAGCAAGAAGTCTGGAGAATTTCAGTGACTTATGTATTCTGCTGCCCACTTTTATCTCCCTTTCTTAGACAGGTGGGATCAGTGCTCGTCCATTGGTCAGGTTAGCCCACTGTTACGAAACGGCTCCCTTTGTTCTGAGACAGCGCAGTTCTTTGTTCCTTCAGGATCCCAAAACGTTCGTTCAGTGTCATCCCTGTCTGGAAAAGAAGAAGTTGAACTTTGTTGAGCCCCTCCTGGCACCACAGCAAAGTCAAGAGCTTCCATTTCTTGGAATTCGCTCATACACATTGTCAAGACCGACAGCCTCCTCAGAAAAATGTAGAAAAGTTAAACTGAGGACAGACAGACTGAAAAAGGACACTTCCACTACACCCATTTCTCCCTACAGATTCTATGCAGCTTGAACAAATGCAGCTGTTTAAGCACTATAACGTAGCCTCTCTCCAGTTCATCCAGTTGAGGCTGCAGACTGAAGTCCAGACCAGAAGTTCAATAACTGCTCCAATGCAGCAGCAGACTATTTTTGGCATATTGCTTGTTCACAGAAGAAACAAATCCAGACCCATGCCCTGACCCCACATAGTTTTCCTGCAGATGGCAGTAAGAAGCTGATTACAAGAACAGTCTCCTCTTGTGGTTAAGTTCTCCAGCATCCAACCCTCTGTCAGCCAGTAGGAATTCCTTCAAGGACAACACTAAGATTTCTGCATCTAATCACTTAACTTCATTAAAACAGTGAACATTTTCTCATCTTTCAAGTGTTTATGTCATCATACTTGATTTTTTTCTTTTTCCTTCTTGTTTTAAATACCCCTAGGCACACAGCAAAAGTTGCTCTATAAATTAACTTCAGGATTCCACACAGGCTATGCCACCAAATGAAGCTCATCCCTGAATTACACACCGTAGTTGATTTAAGAACAGCAGGAACACCAGAAGGCTTTTAGAAACATTTAGCAATTTACATCCCATTTAAAGCACGTGGGCATAAACCAGAGGAACAGGAACAGTGAGTTCAGGTACTTGCTTGAAGTTACACTGCAAGGTAGTGGAAGAACTGGAAGTGGAAACAAGAAGCAGTCACTAGTGCCCACTTTTTATCACCAGTGAGTCTAGGAAGAAAGTGCTTGGCTCACCAGATTTGATCTGCATTGAAACTACATCCACACTTAAGGAATGAAACTGCATTTACCTGCTTTCCAACACTATTAATATCAAACTGCAAAGGAACCCCTTTGGGAATCTTCTTCTCCTCAGATTGGTCCCTCTTCATCAGAAACGGGGGCACAGGAGTACGAGTTAATCGCAATTTCTGGGAACTGTGAGAGGAGAAGATTAGGACACAACAAACACATGTTTTATGCAATGAAGCCTGACTGCAGATGGAACTACTTTTCATCAAGCCACTTGATTAGGCTGGCTAAATAGCTGGAGAGCTCATATTCAAGAAGTCAAGCAGAACTATGAAAGTGAACCATTTGTTACTGCTATTAGAAAGCAAGCATCTCAAAAGGAAGCAATTTTATCTTGCAATGACAAACCCATTATTCATGGTTAATTATTGTCATAAATTTATAAAATAAAAACTGGTACAGTCTTCCTTACAGACAAAATGCTACGAACACCTTGTGAATCAACAGGAACTTCAATTCCACAAAGACAAATACAGCAATGCTTTCTTCAAACACAGTTCTCCCAGTATCGTTATTGATCAGGCAGAAACAATTACCATCACTCATCATCTAGATGCACATTCATTTTCATTCAGTCAAAGGAGCAAAATAGCCACAAACAGCCTGAAATGGAAGAGGCAGACAAGGTGAAAAATCTACCAGTTCACCACTTTTCAACTCCATTCACCACTCCAAACCCCTGACTGGGAGTTGCCTTGTGAAAGCCAGCTGTGATATTACTCAAACACAGCTCAGAAATAAGAAAGGGACACTCAGAAGTCTTCACAATAAGCTGTGGTTACCCTGAGGAAAGACTATCTGTAAGGAAATGGCTCAGGAACAGCAATTTCAGTTACACTGAGAATGTCTGAGAACTATTTTTGAAACTCACATTGGGGTTATGATTGCTCCTGGGTTCTCAATGGACACAGTCAGAATCCCTCCACTTGTGGTAGAAGTTCGCCATCTAGTTTGAAAACACAGAAATCACTTACAAAAAAATCAGAGAAATTTCAGTCAGGTTATCCCCAAAAGTTCTAAAACTCTTGCTAAAAAAGAATATGCAAGCTTTAAAAATGTCAGTCAGTAAGACGACCACATGCAGCCTACAATCTTGGTTATTGATCCTTGTATCCATGTTATCTAAACTTATCAGGTGAACTCCAGATCCCATGCTGGCAAGGTGTACCAAAGCTGCAGTACTGACTGAAACGTTCACTTGAAGACATTCATGCTCCTTGCCACAGGTGAAGCCAAGTTAGTTTCTACTAGTTAGTAGAAAATCCAAGAGATGACATACTGCAGCTCAGTGGCATATGCTGCTTACTCAGCCTGCACTGTTACCAACACAAACTGCAGAGAGCATCTCAGGCTGTGAATGATAAGCAGTATGCATGAGTGGCAGATACTAATCTGTTCCTCAGAAGCTACCACCTTCCCCCTCGATCCTGCAAGCACCTTATGCAAACAAACTCCTCCTGGTTAAATTGGGAGACAATTGAGGAAACAACTGAGAAAAGTAGGAGGAGGCTCACTGTCACTCACTTGAGATGCCTACAGGTGAAAAAAAAACAACAACAAAAAACAACCAGAAAAAAAATACATTACAAAAACCAGGAGCAGAAATTGGAACTCAATGGAGAACAGCAGTACAAACAAGTAACCATACTGAAGTTTTCCAACTGGAATACTTACTGACGAGTTCTCTTTGTTGTCTGAGTATCAAGATCTTCTGCTGGCTGCACTTGGGCCTGCACCTGAAATCACATCAATACAGACACTGCATTTGCATACTGTTCCAACCATCGTTGCAGCAGCTGGAGATAGAGCAGTCAAAAAACAGAAGTTGAAAGCTGTTTGTACAAACAGGGCTTTACTTTCAGAGGGACACAAAAATATCTGTCATGATGGAAACATCTTTGAGAAGTCCCTCAGGAAACACTTCATCAAGTTAAAATGTTAGCCATGTTTCTCTTGCTGTCCTGGTATCACCTGATTACATGTTACATAATATCCAAAACACCTCTTAAGTCCCACTGCTATTTTAAATGAGCTTGGTTTTGTTTTTCTCCTGATCCTGCCCATAATTCTGCAATGGAACTACCTATAGTCAAACCCACGGCAGATACAGGATGAGGACACAAATGAAAAATAAGAACACTGCTATCATTTGCTGCACTATTTTCTTGCTTGTATTCAAAATAACTATGACTAGCTTATCTGTATGCACAGGATCTCTTAATCAGGTTCCAAAACACCGCTCTATCATTTTGCTGAAGGTAACTGTTGAAAGCTGTCATTGCATTCCAACACTTGCAGGATGAAAAGGTAATAGCTTGCAACAGTCCTGAAATGGAGAAGTTCCACACCCTTCAAACAGTTCAGCAACATCAACACAGGAAGTAAGACTCAATAGGCTACAACAACTGAAGGGGAGAAGTACATTTCCCCAGAGGAACATGTGCCTCCTTAACAGTTTCTGCTGTTCCTGAAGTTTCTACTCAGATTTGATGCTTAAACTTGATTTACTAATATCAGTGCTACAGGTTAGCTTAGAATGTTGTGGCACAATACTGCCATTTCCAGTGATGTGTTGTTACCTTCAATCCTCTTCGAAACAGGAAAGTTGCTTGACGAGTGTCTTTCTGCTGATTTAGTTTGTTTCCAATTCTGGCAAAAGCAGATGGCATGTTATTCCTGCAATATATAGAAAGGTTATTGAAGGTTTCATAGACAGACAACATTTCAGAGAGACAACTGTGAAGTACATCTGCAGAGCTGCCTCTTTGAGATAGAACATTTCCATTGTAATAAGTTTCTCACTTCCTAGGAAGAAAACACACTTAAAAACGTAGACATTTCTGGGACTGCACATTACAGACTCTCAGAACCATTTAGGTTGGAAAAAACCTTTAGGATCACCAAGTCTCCACCACCAAACCATTTATGCAATCACCACAGCCACACATTTCTTAGCCTGTACTGAAGGCCACGGTTTAGTGATATATTAGAGATATGTTGATGGTAGGTGGACGGTTTGAATGGATGATCTTGGAGGTCTTTACCAACACTGGTGATTCTACGAAGTGCAGCACCCATCATCAGGAATCCTACTGCCCTGGTTATTAATTCTGCTTTATCTGCTTTATTCTCCAGCACTTTAAATGTTGCTTTTTAGATGGAAAAAAAAAAAGAAAAGCTGTGTTGATAACTGCAAACGAAGCTGTGTTTACAGTTTCCACAACAGTCACACAGTGAAAATTCCCACTGAAACACCAGTTCAGTTGCAGTTTGTAGCAGACATAAATCAATTCTGGCTCAAATAAATCTGCAGTAGCGTCCATGAAACTGAAGGTGGCACCACCTCCCACAAAAGACACAGATATTTACAAAGTTCATTGAACTGTGGTTGTACCTTTAAGCAACAGAGCCGTTTTCACACAGGCTGCCTGTGATGTAAACGAAAGGAAATACCAGGTCCTCACAAACGCAGGTACTTTCCAAGTATTCCGCCCAGCAGTAAATATCTGTCTTTGTACTAAGACCATCTCACACTCAGCTTCCAGCTCTGCCAAAGTTCAGACACATTTTAACAGCCTCGACTGCATTTCTACTCCCAGTTTTGACCATCTTCTCTTGGCCTCAGTGCAGTCACAAATGAGATTCTTTATGGAAAGCTGTCAAGAAGAATTTGGGAAGCAAACAGGGTATTTTACCTCCTGCTTAGCGGGGCAGGTCTCCTGAGGGTTGGAATTTGTTTTCTCTGCATTTCAGTTTGCCTCCGCAAGTTTGGTTTCTTTTTCAGGACGGGATAATTCCGCTGTGTGTTCTTAAAAACAAGAAAACAGAACACAGTGGGTATTTGTAATGTATACCCTAACCATCAGTTAATAAACTGGGACATGGATAGCTAACTGCACGTGCTTAAACCATCTGTTCAGGGTCACAGAAAATCAGAAGACTGAGTTCTGTTGTGTACTACTGAAGATATCAGACATCTACAAAGTCTAAAATCTCTGCTCTTCCCAACTGTCAGATGTCATAACTGAGACTTCTTCAACTTTTCTTTACAAGCCACACACACAACACACTCAGCTACGTCTGTCTTTCAAAACACACTGTAACTTTTGAAATACCATCTACATTTCAAGAGTCATACATTCCCCTCGTTACCATTGAAAACAAAAAAGCACAGCTTATCAGTTACTCTTATCTCCCCATATAACCAACAAAATACATCCTCCGTGCACCTTTACAGCTGTCATCCTGCACAAATCCAAAAGCAATCCCTGTTCCACAAATCCAGACTCTGTGAAGTAAGCAACAAAGCACTGGAGGAATGGAGAACAGGAAGCACACAGAGGGAAGTATTTTGCAACACTCGTTTTTGTAACAGGCATACACTTAGCACCTACACATCTGTGGGTTCACTGGTTTCTAGCAGTGACATAAACGACAAGAAATCCTAACAAAGGAGCTTTCCTTGTGAAAGCACAGCAACAACCACTACACCTGCACAGAACACCTTTCTGCACTTGAATTTCCATGCCTTGCAATCTAATTAAGCGTTCAGAAGCTTTCAAGCTTTGTCATCACCCATCTCCTCCAAAGCAAACACCACTTGGCCAAGACAGCCCCCATTTCACAAAACACTGCATCAGATGCCTGCACGGTATAGAACAAGCATACTGGAATACATTTCAATAGCCCATGCATTCCATTTCTAAACTGTTCTTACTTCCTGTGGAGCCAGGGTTACACGAAATGCAGTTACACAGACCATTGGAAATGCATTAATTACCTTCTCACTAAGTGGCTGCCTGTTCAGAGGACTAATTCCTTTGTGTGAACCCATTGCTTTCTTGGCTGCCAAGCCAGTTATAACTCCATAAGGACGCTTCTTCCCTACAATCTTCTTTCTGTGTCCCAAATGATTTTTACCATAACCTGCAAAAAAAGAAGTGAGGAGTTCAAAAATTCCTACTGCAATAACAATTTTACTGTGTTAAAAATGACAGCAGGTGATGCAAGCTATTTGGCTTCAAGCTTTGGAGCAGAAGCTGCCACTACGCCTGGAGACAGTTTGGTCAGACAGCTACTTCAGTAAGCTGGGATCTAAACCTAGACAGCATTAACCAGCCTCTTGTATAGATCTTCATTTTTCTCTCCCTCTGCATTATTTATGTTCAAAATTTGTTACGTGACACATCTGCAGGAATAATTAAGGAGTCTTTCTGGCATAGGATACTACCAAAAACTCTAAAACAGACCTTCATCAAATGCTGAGCAACACAAAACCAAAGCAAGTAATTCAGCTCCCCAGCCACTCAGCAAATTTTAAATGAACAGTTTAATAAAGAAAATAAGGGGGATGGGTAAGGAACAGCTTTCAATTTATTTATGTAGATTAGTTGCTCCCTAGTCACGTCTTAAGAATAAAAGACCACAGAGCCATATTAAACAGTATACAAATTACATCATGTTTAAAGTGTTTTCAATTAGAAGTCTGCATGGCAGTCTGGAAAAGACTGAGAAATGACAGCAGCCTTTAGATATAAAAGGCTTGTGAGTCTGAGGTCTGTAGTGTAAACACCTCAAGTCTCCAGTTACAAGGGTTTGGTTAACCCTGTCTGGAGCCATTTAGCTTCATGCTGTGTAAACAGTGCCTCAGTTTTACCCTGAAGTCATCCCCTCCTCTAGAACCCCAGACTGTAAGATAAATTTAGGATTAAGAAGATAGCTCTACAGCAAGAGACGCATCTAAACTTGATATATGTGATGTTATGGCATTGGCAACACATCTGTGCTTCTTCACTAGACAGGAGCCACCACAGGAAGCAAAGTCATTGATCAGAATGTAGCTTGGATAAATTTGGTCTTGAGAAAATTCTATGTAGGCACACCGAGTACAGTTAGCAAACGCTTCTCTATGAACAGAAGAGCTGAAAAACAGATATTTAAGCTGCAAGGGACCTCACAAGCTCTCTGGACCAAGCTCTGCTCAATGAAATGACAACTTCAAAGTCAGCTCAGGCTGCACAGGGTTTTGTGTGGTTGCATTTTGTATATCACCAAGGACAACTTTCAGTCACATGAACAATGTTCTTCTCTCTGTTTCTTCCCACAAGAGCTGAAAAGAGTCCCAGCTCAAGTTCTTTGCCTCCTTCCAGAGAGTTTGGCAGCCACTTTGAAAACCAGAGGGAATTGAATGCCATTGAACTTTTGTGGTCTCTGTAGCTGTCTGCTTCTCAGAGCAACTTCAATGGCAACGGAGCAGCAGTAAATCTGCTTACTGGTTACAAGTAATAACTTAAATGCTCAGAAGAACTGCTTAATGAGACCTTCTGCTCAAAAACAATATAGGAGAGATTTGCTTCAATGGAAGGAAATGGGTAGAAAGGAACAGTAACTTATTCACAATGCTTCAACACATGAAAGTAGCAATTTTGGAATAAGTTTGCCATTTTCCTAGAACGAAAGCAGAAAAGGAGGGCAAGTTCCAAGAGATTAAAGTAACTGCCAAGGCAGCTGTATTCTGACTTTTGTATTTGAAGCTCACGTTCTTCCTAAAACTCTAAATTGTGATATTTGCTTCTTTTGGGCCCTTCAGATCGTGAACAATCACATCTGGCAGCTGTGGTTGTAAACAAGCCTACGTTTGAAAGTCCACCATTTAAACTCACTGTCTCCCCACAAATATTCTTATCCTTGGCCTAAATGATGTAAAACACTTTCCTGTACTTCCAAGAATTTATTAAAGATGCACAGGTTAAGTAACACTGCTATGCTGCCCTGTCTAAAGAGAAAAACTCTGGAGCCTTGAGCTGCATGACATTCCATAGGCTCTGAAGACACATGGGTCTAAGTTGTTGAATACGAGCTGCTGCTACAACAAACATTAAGCAGCGACAATGAAAACATGGGGATTACTGTGCATGCACCAGTCTGATGTGTATGTGGTTTAAATCAATGCTACTAAGCAAGAAACTGCATGTCCTAACTTAAACATGTGATTAGCTGAGGAGGTAACTTCCTGCATACAGCATCACGCAGTGTTAAAAAGGTACTTTGCAAAACTCAACAGAATTAAAAACAGACTTTATTTCTAGCAGATGACAGTCATGTATTGGACACATGGGAATCATCTTCAGAACGACTCCTGTTTATTGAAAAAACTGCAAGTTATTCAGGAAATCTCCAGTAAAGCTGTTGTTGTGCACTTTTCCCCTCCTTACTCCCTGCCTATGTGATTCTTTCCCTGCTGTTGTAATCCACTGTAAAAACACAGGCTGAAGAAGGCTGACACGGTACTTCCTTTGCAACCCATAGCCTTAACAAGAAAAATGGACTCGCACACTCTTCACTATCCATTTGTAAACCCCAGAGGCAGTGCTGCAGACTGCAGTACAGCTATTTTTGTGACTTCGAGCAGCACAATTCTACTCAGCGTACATAAACATGCTGGCTCTTTCTCACAAAGCTCTAAGGTTTGGCAAGGCCTCTGCATTTCCTAATACAAGGGCTTCAGCATGAGCACTCTTTTTATCCTTGTCTGAAGGGGGACAAAATATCAACACAATTTCTGAAGCTACATCCATATATCAGAAGGCAAGCAGATCCCAAGCAGACCAAGAGCATCCATCAGGTGCCTCAGTTCTGTATTGGCCTGGCAAGTCACAGCACACTGGTTCCACCCACCTTTCTGTTGTTGGATCCCCCACTTGGAGCCTGGTGTCCTGAATTGCTGAGTTCGATTCTGCTGGAGTCCTCTCTTCATTTTGGGGGAATACTGCTTCCTCTCTTCTTTCTTGTTCAGTTTAATTATATCATCTGTAAAAAAAAAAAAGTAGAAGAAAAAAAGAAAAGAAAGATGTGATGCATTTCAGGCACATTTAATATCTAAAGAAAAAACCTGAGCAGATTAAAGTCATGTGAAACAAACTGGTTAATCTTGCAAAGCCAGCACGTACAAGTTAAGGTTCCAGAAATATTACCTCTATAAAACACCCAGCCCCTGTCAGTCTTACTAACTCTCTCTTTCCCCTATTACCTTACGAAACAAGCAGTTGCATACATTCAGAACATCCAAGGTACTTTTAAAATTGTGGTATTTACTCAAACAGCATATTTTAATCAAATGACCCTGTTAGTTTTTGGATACAATTAAAGAAAAGATCAACCTGCCTCATTCTCACACTTCCTAGATTTCAGCCCAAATTCTTGTTCAAGACACAGCACTCTCACCTCATGTTACTTCATAAAACCATACCAAGAAAATTGAGGCTATCTTCAGACATTCACTCAGGTTCAGATGATGGGAAAAAATATCTGCAATCCAAACAGTCATCTTATTTATTACTTAGGAAACAACGTTAAACAATTTATTAATAGGTTTATGAAAACGTTCAGGGTAAACTCATGAAAACCTGGCAGGTTTGTCTACAGCAAACCACAGCACAGCAGCATGATTTCATCTGCTGATCAGGTTCGCTGGCTCAGAAGACAGCAGTCAAGCAACCAGGTGCTTCGTATCCCGTTGAAGGAAAGGTAAGAGAAAAACAGGTTATTTTGCTACAAAAATGAATTAAAATTTGGAAAACAAAAACAAATTTGTTAGGAAAAGGGATGCTGGTACAGCTCATTTAGGGTTGGATTTCCATAGAATCTTCTTTACCAAAGAGATTATCCCTAGAGGAAGGATCAGATGCCCTGTCCCTAGAGGTGTTCAAGGCCAGACTGGACGGGGCCCTGGGCAGCCTGGACTAGTATTGAATGGGAGGTTGGTGGCCCCAACTGTGGCAGGGGGATTGGAGATTCAAGATCCTTGAGGTCCCTTCCAACCCTGGCCATTCTGTGATCCTGTCTATATGACAAAGCAAACTAAAGCCACTCATGTTTTATACAGCTCAAAATAGCTAAAACTCACTGCCAACAGCACTACTCAAGCAGGAGCACTGCTTGAACTTCGTTCCAGTAATAACACGGTGCTGAGTCAAAACATAAAACCTCCCAGCATTTCCAAGTAGAACGTGTGCTTCTTCATATCATTTAACTCCACCCCCATCAGCCATCACCACCACGCTCAGTGAGCACCAGCCCTTGCTTCACAGCTCATCTGCTCCAACTTAACTCCCATTTTTTGGGAGACAGTTAGTTGTTGGTGCACGTATCCTTGGAAGCTTTTTAAAGAAAAGAACTTACTTTTCAGCTATCTTCTTCTTTGGGGAAATGAAGGATATCTGGGACATTATGCATTTGTTAGCTAAGACCGACTGAAGTATTCTCCTATTTTGTCTGAGATAAGAGATTTAAAATTACACAGAATAACGTAGGAACACTGTCATACTGGAAGCTCAGCCTCAGACCACATAACGTGCTAGCAATGAAAAGTTTTATATTGGTTAGTATATCTGAAAACCCTCAACATCTCAAAGATCTCAAAGTTCCCCAGAATAGCATTATGTCAACTTTTTACACTGTGCCAGATGAGGGACTGCATCTTTGCCTCCAGCAGGCCATAAAACTGCAACTCAGAGGCAGGAGGCGCAGATAAAACTGTTCTCATGCCTTGCAACTGAGAAAGCCAAGGGTCACTGCCACGCAGGAGAGTTTGGTAAACACAGCGTCACCACAACAGCACAATTCTCTGCCACCTGTTGTCAGTCAACGTCCGGAACACAGAGCAGTGGTAAATTCAAAAGAAAAAGAAGAAAATGTTCGACTTCATAAAAATAGCTGACCAGCGAGAGCTGATGGGGTTATTTCTAATAACCTTGCTTGGGTAAAGTAGCACGGCGTGCTACTCCATAAAGAGAAACGCTGCGTGGCGCTTCACATTCAGAACCCCAACCCTCATGTCACAAATCTTCTCCACCACGGGAACAAAGAGCAACAACGGATTACCCGCAGAGCGCACACACCCGGTAAGAGAACGAACATGAGGTGACCCACAAGGGCCAAGCCGCCCGGTTTCACTTTCCGAAGCAGATCTCTCAGTTCCATCGCAGCACCCTTCGATAACAGAGCAGCCCCGGAGCACACGACTGCAGCTTTCGGTGGCACTGCCGGGCCGCACGCTTTATTTGTCCGATCGAGTCGCTCAGCCGAGCTCCAAGGAAACCCGGCGGGTTCCCAGCTTCAAACGCTGCTGGAAGCGCGGCCCGACCTGCCGACCCCCGCCCCGCCCTCACCCGGCGCTCGGATCAGCCGCAGCCCCTCGCGCTCCCCCGCGTCGCCCAGCTCACCCAAGGACATGTCGATCTTCTCCAGACTGTCGCTGCTGCCGCTCCGGGCCCCAGCAGCGGCCGAGGATCCGGACGGCAACGCCGCGGCCCCGAACGCGCTCATGGCCGCCCTCAGGACCACCGCCGCCGCCTCCCAGCGACCGCCCCCAACAGACCGCGAGCGGCAAGTGCGCATGCGCGGAGCGCGAACGGCGCGTGCGCCGCAACCCCCCTCCGAACACCGTCATCTCAGGCACGCCCACGACGCATGCGCAGCAACGGCTCCTCAGCCGCGAGAGCGAACGCCTGCGCCGAGGAAAGGTGCTGCCTCTTCCACCCCTCCCTCGCGGGAATTGGCACGGCGCCCCCTGGCGGCCGGGAGGAGCAGGTACAGCGGGGCGGGGGGCGCGGGATGCGGTTGTGGGTGCGCTGCGACGTCCCGGGCCTGTCCTCTGCCACAGGGTCCGTCCCCTGCCACGGGGCCTGCTGCTGTGGGGAAGGCGGTGATGGCGAGGCCAGTTGGTGGTGATAGCAAGGCCTTGTGTATAAGCAAGTATACAAGCAAAATATAAGCAAAGCTTGTGTATTTCCATCCCTTCGAAATGCATTGCTGAGGGGTCAGCAGTCGCTCCATGAGGCAGGGATCTGCTTCTTTTGTCGCTCAGCGCTGTTTCTTTCCTTCATCTGGTGGAGCTCTCTATTTAGGGACTGCAGTTACCATTGAAATTCCTACGTCTTGCTGGTTGAAACCAGTCAGCGAGTTCCAGAGCTACAAAGGAAGGAGCAGATAGGCAAAAACAATCGCGCAGGCTGGGCTTCCCTCAGAACCTGCCGATAAATGCTGAAAGGAAAATCCTTATCAGCTTCCTCCGCTCATAGCAGTCATCCCATGTCACAGCCCGAGCCTCCTGTGTGACCTTAGAGATCAGAGCAATGCAGTATCCAAAGTGCTATAGGTTACTATCAGGGCCTCGTTCCATCAGTGTATGCATCTCTTCTTTTTAACATACGGCCAATAAAGTAATTCTGGATATTCCACTTGCTGAATTACACTGGCTAGCAAGGAATGGCTCAGTTAATGCCACAGGATACCTTCAGCTGGTGAGAGATTTTTCCTTCATCCAAGCAGGAGCTCAGGACCACAGTGCAGAATGCTGTGAGTACTATCCCCATTTTCTTCTGTCAGCCCCTACGTGCTGCATGAGTTCAGAAAAGGGGTCTTGGAGCTGCATATTTGATAACAGATGCATCTTCCTCTTAACGACAAGCAGGACTTCAGGTTTTTAAAGGTTACATAACTAAAGGAAAGATGACATCAGCAGATCACTGATAAGCGCTAGTAACAGAATTCTTAAATAAAATGTGCGTTTTTAAAGAAACAAAAAACCCTTATACCAAGTTCCTGTGATGCTGTAGGGTGCAGCTCCATCTGGTGCCACACTGACAAACAAACGCCGTTTACCCAAAACAAATATGCTAACCTCAAAGGTGGCAGATGCTGTCTGCCCTTGTGGCAGGTGGAAATCAGACAAAATCCAGATTGTACCACATCCATCCGTGGCATTTATTACCCAAACAGGAGACCAGCTGCCATCTGTTGAGGCCAACAGAAATTCAAACAAACGTTACAGTGCTGAAGAATATTTTTGTTGTGTTCTAAACAGCTGCAATAACACGAAGCTGGTAGAAGTGATCAAAGAAGCATCAGCTCCTGGTTTTCTGTCGGGATTGCGTCTGTACGTGGTCAAGTGATGGTGGATCCATACGGCACACACACAGCAGTGAGCAGCTCGTGCAATTCAGAGCTCGGCCACAGGAAGCTCTCACAACGCAAAAGACGGCAGAAACCTTCCGTCTCAGAGGCATCAAACAGCTCTGCAGACACACGGAGCTGTTATCACCCCTGTAACCTGGCACCGGTGGCTCTCAGCCCGATGGCAGCAGTTCTTCCCCTTTTAAGTTTCATTTCACTGGCAGAAAGTCCCGCAGCCGAGCCGCCTTTTCCACACCCCCTGCACTGCACTGCAGAGTCCCTGGCACCCTGCTCTCAGTGCTCAGCACACAAGCGCCGTGCTGGACGGTGCTGCGGGTTCTGTGCCTCCCCACGATGCGGTGAGCGGTTATCCCGGTGAGGAATTACCGCGGTTTAACGCTGCCGTGCGGCTCATCCCCAGCGCTAACAGCTCATTAGAGGCGGCTCAGGGCTCATCCCCGCGTGGCGCAGCCGAGCACCGTGCCCGCGTACCGGGGAGAGCGGAGCGCCAATCCCGCGGAAGCAAAGCTCGAGCACCTCGCGAACCGCCGGACTGCGCGCACCGCCCGCCGGGAGGTGTAGTTATTGCTCCGCGCGGGGCGCGCTGGGAAGCGCAGAGTGGCGGGAGGCCGCGGGGCATGCCGGGAGTTGTAGTTCCGTGGAGGCCATGACTGAAGCCGGGGGGCGGGGCGGGCGCTCCCCCTCCACGTGACGGCGGCGGGGCGGTGGCGGCGGCGGGGCCGCGCGCGCCGGGGATGGAGGTCGAGCCCCGCGGGGGGCGCGCGGAGAGCAGGTGGGGGCGCGCGTGGGACGGAGCGGCGACACGCGGCGATCGCAGCGCGGACGGGACGCGTTGGGGGATCGGTGCGCGGGGGGACGGCGGCGGTGTGCGATTGTAGCTGGGCGAGGACACGCGTGGGGACGGGGACACGGGCTGGCGGCAGCCGCCAGGCTTCCGCCGTGCCGATGCCCACGCAGTTCGCCGGGCTTGGATTGCCGTGCCGCCCTCGATCGGGCTGCGGGCATCGCTTCAGCCTCTGTACGAATCCAAACGTCGGGCTCCCGCTGAGCGCACGTGGCCGTGACAGGTGGGAGCGGCGCTGCGGAGCGCCCCGAGTCCCCCGGGTCGGGCTGGGGCACGGCTCTGTGCGGGTAACAAATCCCGCGCCCCGGGGGCGTTCCGATGTAATTCCCATTCGCTCCAGGCTTTTGCAGGTCTGTGGTTTGTGCTCGAGTCGGGAGCGCAGCACGGATGTCAGCCGAGAGGTTCGCTGAAACCTGATCCGAGAGAGCGGCGTTCCTTATCTGACAGCCTCTGCGCCCGGGCTGCTCTGTCGGCGAGATCTGCAGGAGTGCAGCCGGTGCTTTTAGAGCCATAACGCAGGTTCGGGCTGCCTGCTTGGGCAGCGTGGTTTGCTAACCCTTACTGAGCCGGTGTTTCAGACCCTCAGGTGCAGAAAGGCTGGGTGGTAAAAGCATGGAGCGGCTGTGTTTGCTTCTCTTCTTTCCAGAACCATCTCAGTGCTATTCTCACCTCCACAGGCACTGGTCCTGCACTGCCAGTCTGCATCGCTGTGCATCCTATGGGGCTGATGTGGTGCCACTGCTCCGGGGAAGAGGTGGCACCATCCATCCCCTCTGCTGCCTGCACGCAGAGCTGTGTGTGCTGGGTTTAGGTTTTAGGGGAAAGTTCTGGCAGGGGCCTGGTGTAGCTTTGTTGTCCTGTGTGCAAATGATGTAGCATCCTAGTTCCCAGTGAGGTGCCCTAGATTGTGGTCCATGGGTTTCCCAGGCAGGGAGGGTGCTGTGGGGCGAGCGGAGCTCTGGGACTCCCTTTGCCTTGTGAGCCCCTTGCCATTGCTGTAGATGAATTGCACTAAGCCAGCATTTCTTTAATTTCTTTTCCCAGAAGCACCAAGCAGGCAGCAGAGCAGAAGGAAATTTGCTGCTTGTTGTCAGGGGAACCCGTGCATATAGCAGCATGCACACAGCCACGGGTACCTGCTGCCCTGGGAGCTGCAGGCTGTGTCCCTGGGAAATGTAGCAGAAGTCACCTGCTGTTGCCCACAAATGACCCCAGCACCCTCGATCCAAGCTCCTTAGTGTGCTAAGAAGGATCAGGCGATGCCTCCAGGTAGAGAGCAGCCATTGCTTGGTGCATCCTGCAGAGCACTGGAGTGCACACAGCACACGTGGTTGGTAAGAAGGATTCAGGTTTGGGGATGTCATCTACCTCCATGATTCTGGTTTGTTGTTTCTTGTCTTTTAAATGAAACTTACCTGACTCAGTAGTGTTGTTCCCTGCACCTGCCCTGAGTCACCCCTGCTGATTTGGGCCAGGAGCTGTTCCTGCCCTAGCTAGTGTGGAAGGACTGAGAAAGTCCAGGGAGCACAAGCAGAATTTCCCGCAGAATTTCCCCATCATTTTCATCAGCAGTGCCATTAAGTGATTTCCAGCTGCAAGGCTCTATTCCTTCTTTTCTTACTGCAAAGCAAAAGTTTCGGTTTTGTTTGGAACAATTCCTGACCACAGATTGGTCTGACTGTATCTGGAACAGAGCTGGTGTGGTGTAGTAAGGAGAGGGAGTGCCCAGACCCATGGAGCTGGAGGTTGGAAGTGGGGGCTGAGTCAGAGGGTGTATGTAGGGAGGGAGAGAGATGTGCCTGCGGTCTCACTGATATCCGGTGTTATCAGGCTCTCATATAATGACCAATTCATTTTTCGGCATGTCCAGGGCAGAATTATCTTTCTTCCTGTATGAAGCGGTGCACCAGCACACCCTTCAGACTATAACCCCATTTACTGCAGCCACACCCCAGCCATGGTTTCCCCGAGGAAATGCTGCTGCTCCTGTTGAGCTCGAGCTGTTTTTTCTCAGCATCTCCTTTGCAGTCCGATCACGTCCTGATTCTCGCCTGGAAAATATAAATCAGTGCATTCAAGCACATCCCTGACTCCAGCTGAAGTGCTTCGGGTGGTGCCCCATGTATTGAGCAGGCTGACCCCTGTCCTGCCAGCTCTCTTCCTTTCTTCCCAGCCCAGCATTTGGGCTACAGCGAGGAGCTATGCAAACACACTCAGCTGATCTGGATAGGGAAAGCAGGCTGTTCTAGGGCACAGGGAAAGCTGCACACACGTCCCTTGCAGGCAAGCGTCTGCTCATGTACTGTGACCTCTCCTGGGCATATTGCTTGCTTTGTACTTCCTGGAAGAAGAAGTATTTTCATGCTGTGATTTGAATTTGCCTTACCCCTGTGTCAGGTCAGGATGAATGAGGCTTTTTTAACAACAGCTTGCAAATAATTCTCCTTATTTGGTACAAAATCGAGCAGATTTCTCAGTACTGCTCTGAACACCTGCTGAAATGGGGAACTGGAGGGCAGCTGGCACCCTGTCTTTTTCTATCCCTCCTGGCATCTCTGTGAATGAGAAAGGAGCAGATCCTGCCACAAATTAAGGGTTAACCTGTGAGTCCAGGCTGAGCTGAGGGCAGTTAGCTATGTGTTGCCTTGCTGTCACCTGCAGCCAGGTGTATGGCTCTTCTTTTATTTGGGCTTGTGTCACTGCATGCTTTCCTGCACGCACCGTGTTCCAGCCCAGAGGCAGCTGCATGGATACAGTCCTATGGGAATGGGTAGAGTCCTAAGCGTCCGACTTGTGAAATGCTTTTGAATCATTTGAGCCAATGATTCCCATCCAGTGGGAGTCTCTCTGTTGACTGAGGGATTTAATTGACTTTTGGGAGGCTCTGAATCATCTCTGCCAAGGTGCTCTAATTTTGCTCACTGTTTCCTGCACGCTGAGTGCAGTGGCAGAGGCACTGTTATGATATTTTGTGTGAGGGTTCCTTTGTGTTGGAGTCCTCATTTCCCAACCTCTGGGGGGGCACAGCTGCCCCTGCAGTGAGATGGGTCTTTGAGCACAAGGCTCTGCTACCCTGCATCTCTGTGCTCGTTGCGTGCTTTTTATAGCACAAAATAACGAGGTGGGAGTTTCTCTGACTCACAGACCTGGAAAGTGAGCAGCGTGGCTGAGCTTTCACTTGCATTTCCACACTCTGAGTGTTGGAAAGACCTTGGGGAGGAGCTGGTGGAGCTCTGTGTCTGGCAGCTGCTCTCTGGCCAGGGACAGTGCCGCTGCTCAGAGCTTGGTGCAGGGGGGCAGGGCTGGAAAAGCCTCTTGGTTCAGATGAATGAGGTTTGCTCTGTCTCTTCAGGTCGCATCTGCTCCAGGACGCTGCCTTTGGTTTAGTTCATTCTCTCCTGAGATAAACCTGCTTGCTGGGAATCTATGATTAAACTCTGATCTTTAGGCTGGTCTGAAAACAGCTGCCATTGTCCAGGCACGAACCAGCATAAACCTGGGGGGCTTGAGGCAAACACATCTCCATTGTTGAGTTTTTCTCTGGATCTACTAACATTTAGCTGCTCGGTCTCATGCAATATAGAAACATCTCAATTTTGCAGTTCTCCAGCCTTTCACAGGCTGGCTGATTTGCTGGGAATTTCCTTCTGCCTCATTCCCCATAGCGGCATTTCCTCATGCTTCATTCTCTCTACCACTGGAGTGCCAGAGAGGATGGGGCTACAAACAGCAGAGGATGATGTGGCATCGATTGCAGTGTACGGCTCTAGGAATTCCTGCAGTGCAGCTTTCACAGCCCTGCACAGGGCTTCCTCTCTTCTGGGCAGCGGTGGTGTTATCGAGCTGTGCGTGAGCACATTCCTGCTGATGTGTGTTCACAGTGTGTTCAGGCTTGCTGACGAATTGCAGCCTGGCTGCGGAGCTGCTGTGACAAGTGACAAGCTTTGCTGGCTGGCTGGGCTGCCTGGTGAGCTAAGCTTGGGTAAATGCTAAAGCCAGTGAGGTTTCCCTGCAGAGACCTGATATAGGGGAGCTTGAGGCAGAGCCAGTATTTTATTATCTGCTTGTTCACGTAATCAGTTCTGAAATAATAAAGCACTCTCAAAATGGGAACATTTTCAAGAAAAGCTTATTTTTGAGTAGTGGGATTATACTGCTTGATAGCATGCTTCTTTGCGCTGCAAGAAGTTTACAGCCCACACTGTAATCCACGAGGACAAAAAAGCAGTTTTTCCTTTTTTCTTATTTCTTTTTTTTTTTTTTTTAATTTGCTTGTTTTGTTTATTTTGGCAATCTGGTTGATTTTGGGTGTCTAAAACACCGGAGTTTTCTCTTGCCAATGTAAAGATTAAACTTTCGTTCTAAACCATTATCTCCAAAGCTTTTGTTAAAACCCTGCAGGAATGCACATTTTGGCATTTAAGGCCTGGTTGGATGGGCCCTGGGCAGCCTGAACTGGTGGGGGCACCCAGCCCATGGCAGGGCTTGGGACTGGCTGGGCTTATATGTTCCTTTTGGCCCAAGCCATTCTGTGATTCTGTGGTTTATGAATCTATGAAACGTACATTGGAGCCACCAAAGGTTTCGCTCTGACCAGAGCCTATGGAGTGAGCTTGGCCTGCTGTGAAGCTCCTTGTGCCCTGAATCTGGTGCTCATTAGGCAACCCTCTGTGTTCCTCTGCAGGAAAGAGCACTGGAAGCTGCTGGGCAACCTGAAGACCACAGTGGAAGGGTTGGTGTCCACCAGCAACCCCAACGTCTGGTCCAAGTATGGCGGCCTGGAGCGGCTCTGCAGGGACATGCACAGCATCCTGTACCATGGGCTCATCCACGACAAGGTAGGCCTCAGTCCCACCCACACCACGGTCCTGTGGCAGGAGCTGAGCTCTCCTCAGAAGTGCCTGTGTTCCTTCCATCACGTGTGCTTTTAGGTGTTTTTGCTGAGGGGAGGCCTGCTCCTCCCTTGGCCGCACTGCATCCTGCAGCAAAGCAGCAGTGCTGTATGTGCCACGAGCCAACCTCCCGTTGTGTGTCCTTGGACAGCGCCCCAGCGAGGCCTGGCAAGAGAAGCCTCAGGCCTTGGCTGGTTCTGGTTAGCTGTGTGAATAGTGGGGCTGGCAGCCAGATCTGTGCTCTGTGTGAAAGGGGCCTGTATCCAGCTTCCACCATTCTCATCCAGCTGTCCCCATCTCCATGACTGCTGGGAAGAATTTTTCTTTCCTGCTCTGGGGAGCCTCCGCAGACGCTGAAGATCTCCCCTCAGCTTGCAATTACAGCAGTTGTTTCTCAGTAAGAATTACATCAAGCCTGCAGGGCATGCCTTGGGCAGCGTTCCCACCAGCTCCAACACTGCAGGCATCTCCAGGTGCAGAGGAGCCAGAAGGGCTGCACAGCTGGAGCCCAGGAGCTGTATGCGATGTATGCGATGGAAGAGTCCATCTCAGCTTTGCTACTTGGATCTGAGAGCTGCACGTAGCACTTGGTCAAGTCATGCCCTGTGCTGTCAGTCTGCAGTGGTGTGGGCCAGCAATCTCCTTTGAGCAGAGAGAGAAGTTACCCTTTAAATAGGAGGAGTACAGTGCTCTTTTCTGATAGACGTGCTATTCGGAGGCTTTGGAAGTGAGATTGGAATGATTTCTGCTTGTCTCTGTGTTAGTAACAGTTCATGCCACAGCTTGAGGAAATAGACACCTGCAAAATAGGGCAGCACAGTGCTGTTCCCGATGCTGTGTGCAAAGGCAGTTCTTTCTTACAAGTGCTTTGCCTATACATACCCTCTCTCTCTCTGTATATGTATGTCTATGTATTTATATAGTGCTATGTACTCCATCTGTACTAGCTACAAAGGGAGGCCCATAGAAGTACAGCTTCCTAGCAGGATTTTTGTTATATTTACTCCGGAGAAACTTCCTTTTAGTTATGTATTTTTGTATCAGCTTTTTTTGCTATGACTAGAAATAAATTAAAACAATAAAAAATCTGTATGTACACTGTAAGAGATTTTTTAACTATTGTATGAATTTTATTATTTTATCCAGAAAACCCCAATTGAATATAAAGGGACAAAATGTCTGTGTTGGTGCTTTGGTCTTAAAAATAGAAACAACAGAAAAAATACCCCCCCAAACAAGTAAACCACAAAACGAAACCCCTTCCTCTGACACTTGTGAAAGAGGAAGCAGAGATGGAGGAAAAAAAATCAGCTTTTTTTTGAAATAGAAACAGTTGGGGCTGTGCTTAAACATGATAAAGTGTTGAGGAAAACAATTCTTCTGCAGTTCCTCTTTGACTGGAAGAATAACTAAGAAGAAATAACTTACTGTCTGAACAGAGCCAAGGCAAACAGCAGTAAGGAGCTGATAGGAATGCAATGCCAAGAACGTGCTGCATCACATTTCTTATCTGTGGTGCTCAGCCATGCTGGTGTGTCCTTCTTGGTGACTGGCATGGGAGGACAGTGGTTGCTGTAGGTTCTGCTGGGATGTGTTTTGTGCTGCCTGCTGCTCCAGGTCCATCTCTGGCAGGAAGGGACCAGTGATGTGGGAGCTCCTGACAGGTTCTGGGTTGAACGCCGTCTCCTTGCTCTCTGAGCCAGCTGTACTGTCGTTGTTGTGTCACTCAAGGCTCGTGTGTATGGTGGGCCCTAACCGAGCCTGTCCCAGCAGGTGTACTGCAGGCAGAAGGATTACTGGCAGTTCGTGAAGGACATCCGCCGGCTGAGTCCCAGCTCTGCTCATCACCTGGAGAAGGTGAGTTCTGGTGGGTGCCTTGGTGTGCCCAGCCTGGGGGAGGAAGGCAGCTGGGCTGCGAACCCACTGGTGAGGGACGAACTAGCACTGTGGTTGTGTGTGAGCTACATCCCAGGAACTTGGTGTGGTTTAGGGTTTGACAATCAGCTGCTAATTTCCTACAGGCTGGCCTCCTTGGTTGGGTACAGCAGGCATCACCAAGGGAGTTGGCACAAGCAATGCTTCTGTGCACACAGTGGGGATTTATGCTGTTGTACAAATCTCCAGAGGTTTCATCTGTTCCATTTCTGGGTTGTATATTGGCCTTGACCATTCATTGGCTTTCTGTGCCTAGCTTTTGCTGTTTGCTGATACACAGGGATGCTTTCAGCCCTCAGTGCTCTGAGACCTGAAGGCACCACGCTGCTCTTTGTCACATGTGAGCAGATTTCATGCTTTCCATTGCAGTCTGCTGTAGAGCAGCAAGAATGTTCACATCAGTTAATGTGTCAGCAAGAACATGACCGTCACTGCAGGAAAGCAATTAGATTTGGAAGTGTGGGGTCCCTCCAGGTCAGGGGTAGGAGAACATGCCATTGAAATTCATACTGCTGGTGGCTGTGGGTAGGACTTTGGTCACCGGTGCTAGCTGACCTTTGAAGTGTTGTTCCTCTCCGGTGCTTTTGTCTCCCTGTGCTGCCTTGGTGACTGCTTGGATGTGACTGCATTCTCACCAACAGTGCCTGGTGCTGCAGAGCTGTGAGGAGGAACGACCCCTGCTCCTCTGCTTACTTCTTCTTGCCCTAACTTGTGCCTTCATGGTTCATTTCCAGTTCATCAGCCTGCATGAGAACAGCCAGCCCAGCCCAGACAGCCACAGTGACCAAGCTATTGCACAGCTGTGGCTGCAGCACAGCCTGCAGTTCCACTGCCTCTCGGCACAGCTCAGACCTCTCCTGGAGAACAGGCAGTATATAAGGAAGTTCTACACAGGCAAGTAGAAATGAGTCTTTCTCATCCTTGTATGAAAGCAGATTTTCCAACTCATGCTTGAGGGGAGCAGCTGAAAAGGTAGTTTGCATCTGTGCAATCTGTGCTGTCAGACAAAGCGTGCTGTGTCATACTGTATATGCATGGATGCAGGTCAGAAGAGCTGAGCTTTAGTTTTCTGCAGTGAGCTTGTCTGCAACATGCTTTGTCCTGCTTGTCTGTGTCCTCCTTGCTGCCCTAACAGGAGCTTGAGCAAGTCTGAATGCGTTGGATATTCTCATTTTCTTTCTCTTAGGAGATGGGGCTGTAGCAGCTTCTTTGCATGGGCTCAAAGGTTTCTGCTGCAGGTAGTCAAGCAGTCTGGTTTCAAGTCCATGTCCCGGTCTGCAAACTTGGAGAAATGCATTTCCCATTACAAAGAAATAAAATGTGCAAAGAAAGTCAATTTTGAATCTGTTTCAAACAGTGCTGTTTTTTTTTTCCCTTCCCCCGGAATATTTCTAAACAAAAAGATGAAGGTCTGACCTCTGCTGATGTGTGGAAATGCAGCTGTGTTTCTCCTTTGTAGGTGAAAATTGTAGTCCATTCGTGCACATTAGGAACTTTTGTGAAAACTTGAGGATTTGTCAGAAAGTAAAGATAAATAGCAAGGACAAAGATATCTAAACTGATCTGGGACAGGATCTTTCTTTAATCTTGTATTTTAGAGTACTGAAGAGAGAAGTTTTTCAATAGCCCCCAAATTAAGACAAAACCTTGAACCAGATACAATAATTAGGAATGCAAATCTTTTGGCTCAGGTTTTAGCTGGGTGAGGAAGGCTCTCATCTCCTCCTCTTCATGTAGGTTTTTCCTAAAATTGCCAAGTTTTATATCCAGCACTTTGGTGGCTTTTCTCACAATTTTTTCCTTGCGGACTGCTGCAGGAAGAGCATCATATACCTCCTGCTACCCTCATGCTGGTGGCAGTGAGGAGAAAGCCCCCTGACAGTAATTCTCTCTCTGCAGACACAGCCTTCCTGCTCAGTGACGCCCACGTCACAGCCATGCTGCAGTGCCTGGAGGCTGTCGAGCAGAACAACCCCAGGCTGCTGGCTCAGATCGACACATCCATGGTGAGCTGAGACCCCTGGCTTCTGCATCTGGCCCTCCCTAAATGCTGTACGGCTGTGGCTGCTCATACAATATTGCATTCACAGCACACAGAACCCTTGGACAAGGGCCTGGACTTGGGAAATAGCAAAAGGAAGGGGTTGGGGGGATGGGAGGAAATGTCTGTAGTGAGGCACCTCGGTTCAGGCTGTCATCAAGAATCTGAATATGAGGCTCAGGAACCATATCCTTTTAAGAGACACCTCTAAAGCCATCTCCAAAAGACCCAGGCTTCAGGGTCAGCCACACTCAGAGGGCTGGGCAGCACCCAGGACAGCCAGATTCCCCCTCCTGCTGGTGACGCCACCATCCCAGTGCCTCCCAGTGCCAGCTGCCCTCTCCTCATAGGAGAACAGCAGCTGCTTTCTTTGCAAAGAACTCCCCAGAGGAGAGCAATTAATGATGCTTCATTAAATAGGGTCTGTGTTCTTTCAGCTGGCCGGCACATCACTGCCCTCCGTGTGCTCCTCAGGTCCCTCTGCTGGGACAGGAGAGATGTGTGACCATGATGCTGTAGGACAACAGAGCCGCCTGCCTGGGGCACTGGGCTGCCTAGATCATCTCGCTGAGAGCCTGGTAATTTCCAGATGGAGCTTGCTGCTTCGCTGTGCATAAAGAGCTGCTTCCCTTCTTTGCTGCAGCGTGTTTCTCCCATCCTGCAGCCCCAGGGCTGTGCTGGCTGGTAAACAGGTGCTTGTGCAGGCCCTGCAGGTCCAGTTTTTTCTGTCTCTTAAGCTGCTCCTTTGAGATGCTGTTTTATTGATGCTTCCTCTCTTCAGCTGACCAGGAAGGGTGAAGGTCTGTCTTCGGTGACAAAGAGTCAGAGCCTGACTGCGCTCCCTGGGTCTTTCTATACCCTGTCTCCAGGCTGCATGCAGCAGCACCACTGTGGGTCCTTCTCCAGCCTGCCTCACCCGGCCTCCTCTGGGCTCTCAGGTAACCAGAGGTGCTGGAAGCTCAGGCTGGGCTCCTTGCTGGCTTAGGGGGTCACACAGAGGATATGTGACATCCTCTTCTTCTCTCTGTCCAGACAGGAGACCAGCAAGCTCCTCCATCAGCTCAAGCTCCAGCCAACCCCAGGAACACTGCCTGGCCTCGCAGTCCTCCTCCTTCAGCGAGGGCAGGTCTCCTCTGGAGCAGCCCAGCGCTGTCCCTTCATCCCACATCCCCTCACCCAAAGACCCCTTCTCTCCAGCCAACGAGATGAGTTCCAGCACCACCAGCCAGAGTGAGGACACTTGGACAGGGAGTCAGGATGAATCACAAAGCGATGCTAACGATGGGCCGGAGTACCTGGCCATCGGGAACTTGGGGCGCCGTGGCCGGGCCTGCAGCACCAGCAGCACCAGCAGCAGTAAGAGCAGCAGCTCCAACATGTTCTCCTCTAGCAGCTCCCAGAAGCTGGACTCAGGGGATCGGGGGGCAAATGGATGTGGCAGCAGGGGCCTGGGCCTGTTGCGCCGGTCCAGCTTTTCAGAGGGACAGTCATCGGTGTCGCAGGGCGTCCTCAAGAAGAGCCACCTGCGCTCACACTCTGACACCAATGTGGCTTCGGGGAAATTGCACGGTAATGGGGTTACTTTGCTTGGTGCGTGGGGTGGTTGTGGGGTGTGGGCACAATGAGGAACCATGGCCAGGTGGGAGTCACCACTATTGGGATGTTGGCTGTCCCTTCAACTCCGCATGTCAGATGAGCAACGGGAGCAGTGGGCAAGCATTTGGAGGTTTGATTGTTACCCTCCATCTTTCTGCTCCACACTGGAGTGATGGGCTGACATCAGAATGCTGTGGGCCAGTCTAGTTTTGGTGTTAGCAGTTCTGCTGTGGCCTTCACTGGAAGCTTAGCAAATAGCAGAGATGCTGCAGAATTAGCTGTTCTCCTTTCCCTCTGGTCCTGTCCGCTTGGGGGATAGAGCTATGGCAGACTTTGGAGCCTCATGTCATGGTACTGGTAACCTGCTGGGCTCTCCTGTGCTCTTGAGTGTGTGAATGCATGGTGGGAGGATTTGGAAGTGAAGGGACAACCATTTTGTGGGAGTCAGTCCCGCTGGTGCTGTCTACATGGGAGAAACAAAAGTTCTTGCTGCATAGTAACCAGTCTGTCTCTGTTTTCTTTCCCTTAATGCTGCCCTCTTCCTCCTCTGTCTGTCCAGGAGGCCTCAGGGATATCACCATTATAATAGAAGATCCAGTGGCAGGTTTGGGAGCCAGCAAAACAGCCTCATTAGTGATCACTGCATTCAGTTCAGAATTTCCATCAACTCATTAATATCCATTTAGAAAGCAAACAAAATTTTTTTTCTCCCAGGAGTCCCAGGTGCTTTGAAGTGCCTCAGGTTTATGCATGTGGCCTGACTGAAGATCCCAGCCTGGTTTTTGGCAGCAGTGGTCCAGACCAAGGCTGGCACCCAGCTCTTCTGCATGGCGTTAGGAAGTGCTGACCAGCAAGTCCCTGAGCTTCTTCCCCCGCTGTCTCCTCCCCCCCATTACTCTGGGAGCCAGAAGAGGTTGCCCCTGGTGGCCAAGGGCTGGTAGCCCTGAAGGCATGGGCTTCAATGTGATATTTTTCATGGGGCAGATCTGCAGCAAGGGGCAGTTTGATGCTGATGGCACTGGGTGCTGAGCAGTCCATGGCTGGGAAGGCTCCTCCTAGAGTTGGCAAAAGCAGGGACAGATGTGCCTAGCCCTGTTCCTTGCTCTGACTCCGGCTTCAGCAGGAGCTGCAGGGTGCTGCTTTCCAGCAGTAGGCTGTTTTTGGGCCTTCCCAGCCAAGTCAGCTGCTCTCTGGAGCCTTGCTGTCTGCAAAACAGTGGCGGTTGTTTGTCCCCAATGAGGCCAGCTCCTGGCGGTCCCCACCAGCTCAGCCTGGCAGTGTGCAGCCCTGCAGCATGTGTGGGGAGGTGACCTTGATCACTGTGATCCTGGCTCTGGTGTGCAGGGAACCTGGGTTTTCCCAGCTGAGCAAGAGTGTATCCTTCAGATGCCTCCTTGCACCCTTGTCCAGGCCACAAACCTCGCAGATCCCTTGGCTGCTTAGATGTCCCCATGTCTCGTGTCCCAGCCTTATGGGGTGATTCTTCCTTGGAGCTGCTCCAGGAGGAAGATGGGGCTGTCAGAGGTGCTTGCAGGAACTATTGCATTTTCCAGATTTGCACGGCATAAAGAGACAAAGGCTCAGGACTTGACTGATAATATTTAAGGCCTTTTAATTGTCATGGCCTTTTTTCTTTCCCTTTCACCCATCCCCTGCTGCCTGAAATGCCCCTCTAGTTGTCTTCCCTCTTGGGCTTGACTTCAGGCATGGCACAGAGCAGGTGAGCCAAGTGGAGGATTTCCCGTGTTGATTCCCATCCATTTGTGCCCGCCCATATGATGATGATCTCCTTTCATTTCACACCATGCTCTGGGCTGGGCACTTCTGGATTGCTGACATGTGCCTGGTGTTGTCTTGTTCCCTTGCAGAATCCCATTCAGATACAGGTGGAGGAAGAGGGATGGTCTCTGGTTCCACCCAGAGCAGTGAACTGAGCACGCCCAGCTCCCTCTACATGGAGTATGGTAAGTACAGTGAGCATCAGCGGGGCTGTTTGCTCCTGGGCATGCACTGTAGCAGCCTCAGCTTCTGGCACCTGCTTGTGGGATGCAGGCATGCAGGAGCTGGCTTGTAGTGAGCTGGTTGGGAACTGGAAAGGCTTGTTAGCTTGGAGATTGCACCCTGAAGGTCTGTCTGGCCTTCTGGGTGAATGAGGACTCGCTGCAGTGCTCAGATGTGGGCTCTGCAGGAGCCTCTGTGGGTCCAGCAGCACCAATGCTGAGCAACTCATTAAAAGTTTTTCCTTTTGGCATGGGTGTGTATCCACTCTGCTACCTACAGTATGCTAGAGCATGTCTGTTATTCATATTGTTTTGTTATTTGGCATATGCCTTCTCTTTCTTTTTATCCCGAATAACAAACATTGGCTACCTGAAGGCTGTTATGAGGGCCTGCCAGGAGTACTTTCGTGGTTGCTGTCTTAGCAGCTCTGCCCAGGATGTGTGGGGATGATGATTATTAATGATGTGCTGTGGTGGTGCCCTAGGGCTGCCTGAGGTCAAGGTCTCCTTGTGCTCCAGGCAGAGCTGGCCCTAGTCATTGTTCCAAAATTACTGCTGCCTCCTGTCCAAGAGCCACAGAGAAGCAGGAGAACATCTGATAGCAGCCAGAACAGTCAAGTGATCTCCTGCTCCTTCCTGCTTAGGGTGGGATGTTCAGGAGGGCTGAATGGTTTCAGGATGCCTGCTGTCATTGTAATGGCCCTGTGTTGGTCGCTGTTCTCCATTACAGTGGATGAAGCTGGATCTAGTTCTGTCTGTAGAGTGGGATAAACAGCTGTTGGCTGTGTGAACTAGCCAGTGTGTTGACACAGAGCATGGGCTGTTACCCAGTGCTTGGAGCAGTGGATTTCCTGGTCCTTCCTTCATAATGTTGCTGTCTTGTTTTTCCAGACTCTGGCCAGTACCTGAGCTCGGGGGAAGGAATGTTCAGAAGACCCTCAGAAGGGCAGTCCCTCATCAGTTACCTCTCTGAGCAGGACTTTGGCAGCTGTGCAGATCTGGAAAAGGTGAGGAAGGCAGCAGCCTGTGTTCTCTGGAGAAATTTTACTGCAGATTCAGTGCTACCTTCCTCTGTGGGGGAGATAATCACATGCTATTTCCTGCTATAGAGCTGGGCATAGAACTTTCAAGTTGAGTTGCTCATTTATGGCTGGCTTCAAAGATTTGCCCATCTAGTGTTACATGCAGCAGCTTGGCTGCCTGTTGTGGCTCCTTACGGGCATGTGTTGACTCCCCAGCATGGAGATGTTGCACATCCACTTTGTAAGACTTGCCCTATGTTTTGCAACAATTCTGTTGCCTCAAAAGGCTTTGATTTCTAGGTTCTCATAGAAGAGTGAGACTTCATAGGGCCAGAAAGATATAAGGTCTTTCTGCCGCCTTTCTGGATGAAAATATTAAACCATATTTTACCAAGGCTTCCCAATTTTCCCTGTGCTATAGCCTCAAATACTTTCGCTTTTGCCTTGCAGGAGAATGCTCACTTTAGCATCTCAGAGTCACTAATTGCTGCTATCGAGCTGATGAAATGCAACATGATGAGCCGGCAGCTGGAGGAGGAAGAGGAAGACAGCGACAAGGAGATCCAGGAGCTCAAACAAAAGATTCGCATTAGGCGCCAGCAGATCCGCACCAAGCACATGTTCTCTAGCTGCCAGGAGATGGGCTCAGACAGTGGGTGATGTTTTTTGGGCTCATTTCTAACAGGGTGGTGCAGAGATCTGTGAAACCCTGCCATATTACAGTGTAGTGGGGCCGATACCATATATGCGTAACACTCGTGCCCTGGTGACACTGAGTTAAGGAATGTGGTTTCATTTTGAAGCCACAGAACCTGTTTTCCATCCTTGCCATCTACCCTTCCCTGGTCACAGCTGGCTATCACTTTACCCCTTTGCTATCCGTGCCCTGTTCAGCTGCTCGCACTGATGGCCTGGCTGTGTTGCCTTCCCTTTATCTCCCAGGCCTTGTGGCGACAGACAGTGAGTCCCAGTTCAGCTCCCATGGCTCCACGCGCCTGTCTGATTCGGGCTCTGCAGAGGATGTGGAGGAGTACGAGATCCGAGGTAAGAGGCAATGGCTGCATTAGCTTCTTGCACAGAGAGAGACTTCTCCTGGGCCTGGTTGCATTGAGCTCAGTCACACTAAAGGAGAGCATGTCCCTTCGGCCTTCAGGATGGCTTTTCCCAAACAAATGGCTGAATGCTGAGCATGAACAGATCAACCAGTTTCTCTCATGTGGTGGCATGACTTTCCTTCAAAATCCTCTATAATTCTTTAGCATTCAGAACTGGCACATGGTTTCCATTTCACTTGCCAGGTCACAGAGCAGCTGTCACAGCCAGGGAGAGATGGGAGGGCTGCCACCCTGCTTTCTTCCTCCCCAAGCAGTAGGAGCAGGCTTGTGTGTTGGGTGGGAGCAGTGGGTGCTGGTCAGCCCCTGACCTGTACTGCGCCTGGTCTCTGCTCCTGGCTGCTAGTGCAGCTGAGCCTGTTGCATGCAGGAGACCTGCCTTAGGTCCCTAGTCATCCCTTTCCTTCAAAGCCTCATTTGTCCTCTGGGATGGATGGCTCATATCTCAGCAGTACCTCGGTCATGCTTTAGACTTTAGAGGTGAGATGAGAGAAGATGGAGCAATCTGGTCTCAGTTTATAAAGTTCTCAATCTTCTTGTCTGTGACTTGACAGCAAAGCCCCCATTTCAGTTCCTGAGAGCTAGATTTTGGACTTGGTTTTGAAGTCCCGTTAGGGGTGTGTGAATTTAGTTCTGGCTTCTCCCATGCGAGTGTTGCTTTTGTGTTATGCCCTTTCCCTTTGGTCTGGCCAAAGCACTGAAGTGAACTGTTTTGTCATCACCGTGTTATACAGATGGTAACGATGGATCTAACCTGATTCAAATGTCCAAGGACGGCCTCTCAGTGTCAATGGCTTCCTTGTTCTCAGGTAGTACCTGCAGTGCTCCCTTGGCACGCGTGCGTGTGTGTGCAAGGTGTGTGCGTGTGTGTGCCTCGCACGTGCACAGTTCTCAGCGTGCCCCCTCAGGGTGTTGCAGGGAGTGCAGAGGCCTCAATCTGTACAGGCTCATCAGGTATTGAGTTCATCAGTAGATCAGCTTCAGATCAGGCAACAAATCACTGAAATTTACTGTCAGGCCCTGGCCTAAGTCACCGGTGTGGGTATTTCAACTGTCCTTCCTCACAGCTCAGTGCACATAAACCAGCTCCTCATGCTTTCTGATTTGGGAACAGTGACACAGTGTCATCCAAGTGTCAGCAAGAAGAGCTGTGGAAGGACGGTGCTTTGCTGGGAGCAAAGAGGAAGCAGAGGAGCTCTGCCTGGTCACCACCCCCCAGGGGATTTTTCCATGCAGCATTCTGAATACACAAAACATGCCTGCTGCTTGGAAAACCTGTCTAGCCTGGGGTGGGACTCAGGAAGGCAAAAGCATAGCGCTGTAATTCTGTAGCTGCTGGGCTCTGTGACAGCAGTCCTCTGCTGCATCACCAGAGGTCCATCTCAGAGGTGCTGCCCTCTAACACGATGGCTCTGAATGGAGCTGCCCTGCTGAAAACAATTGCCTCTCTGATCACACACAGGACAAGGAGGGAACCACAAAGAAAGGAATCTTGCTCTTTGAATGACTCTACTGCTAGCTTTTGGCCACAAGGCAGAGCGAGCACAGGCCCGAAGCACTCTGAAGCTGTTGGTGCCTTGGGGAAGAGTCATCCTGCTTGATTCCACAGAGCTGGCGTGCAATGACTCTGATTCAAACTGTGGCCAGCCCTTCCCTTCCTGACCAGACCTGACTTGGGGAAGAATCCTTCTAGAAAGAGGTCTTTGAGGGAAAAGTAGTGAGAACAGCTGGAAAGAGGTGTTTCTTACCCATTGGAGGCCCTGGATGCTGTGATCATGTGCAGCCTGGTATTGCTTAGCTGCTGATCTCTGCTGTCAGCATTTGACATCAGTGTGCTGCTCCTGCTGGAGATGCTAGTGCTCAGAGCTTCCCATCAATCCTGCTGTATCCTATGAATTCAATGCAGAGTTGGCTCATCCTGGCCTGAAGCTGGCAGCTCAGGGCTAGGTGACTTCCCTGACTTTGTGTGCTGTTCACCAACCCCCTGGGGACTGTCCCACATGGTGAAAGCGTTAGCAGCGGAGACATTTGGGGCAGCTAAGTGGAGACTTTTGAGGAGTGTCTGCAATTAAGAGTGGGGAGGGAGTGATGATAGGATCTCAGCACCCAGGGGAGCCTAGGGCCAGGTCTGGATCCTCTGCCCTCCCTGAGATGATAGCAGTGCTCTGCCCAAGATCTCATAGTGCTTGGCCTGTCCTATACTGTGTGTGCTCCACTGTTTGCTTGAGTTTGTCATACTCTAGGGTCATGCAAAGTCTTCTTGCACAGAACCAAAGGCCTCAGAGCATGGTAGATACATCTGCAGTGCGGTATATGATTAGGAGGCTCATTTTGGCTGAGTTCCCTCTTTTCTGCAACAAGAAGTCTGTTTGCATGATGTAGATGGGTGGATTCCTTAGCATCAGCATGCTTTCGTGTGTCAGTTACTAGCAATGGATGTCAAACACAGTGTTATGTGTCCATGTTGACCTCTGCTAGCATGAGTTTGTAAACTTAGTGAAGGTCTATCAAGGCTCAACCTGGGCTCTTTGCACACCCTTCCCTTTCTGAAGCCAGGAGCAGCTGAAGAGTCATTTTCTCCAGGAGAGCACTTCTTCAGAACTTCTTGCTCCCTGTTCTGCTGGAGCAACCCTGTTCTTCCTAGCAAAACTAATGGCTCAGGGCGTTAGCTTTCTGCTGCAGAGCAAGCATGAGCTGGTGCCTGGACAGAATCTGAGTGGTCTGTGTCACTGACCTGCGTGGGTAGCAGAGTGACTCCAGAGCCACGCATGGGGGGCAGGTACCACTGGGATACTGCTGTGGTGCCCACATCCTGGCCCTGAGGAGGGATGTGGTAAAGCCCAGGTCTATTCCAGAGATCTTGGATCTCTGCTTCCCAGAGAGAGCCTCATGGCTCTGTGCCTCTGCATAGGACTGACCCCTGCAGCTACATGGATGCTGACTCGTCTCTCGAGCGCAGGACTCAGGCTGCCAGTGCTGTGGTGCAACAGCTGACAAGCTGTGGCACAGCCACTTATCTTGAGTTGTATGATTCAATAGGGAGGAGGGTTTTGCATCCCATTGCTAATGCCCTGCAGCACCTGTAGTGTATAAAGAGCTACTAAACTTTCCAGCTAACCTTGCTGTTGTGCCCTCCTAGCTCCAGCTGTGTGCACTGTTACAGGCTGTGTAAACACTAGGACTTGGTGTGTGACCTGCACCACCTTCCACACCAAATCCTGGCTGTATTTTTGCAGCATCCCACTGTGCCTTACCTTGTAACTCCCAACAGGTGATTAATTTGACTGCACCTCTCCTTGCTGCTCTGTATCACTGGTAGAAGCTGATGTTGTAGTTTCTGTGCTTTTAAACAGCTTGACGAGTTTTTAAAATGAAGCTTCCGTTTGGAGTGAATGTATTCTTCAGCCCTGCCCAGTTTGCTCCATCATGTTTGTTTCTGATTCAGATGCAGACATCAAGAGGAACCCTGACTCCAGCAGGAAGTCCTTTCTCTCCTCAGAGCCCATGTACGTATTCAGCTTGCACTGAGACATCTTGGTACCCAGTTCCCTTTCCTGCCCAGCTCTACTTCCAGGTGCTTCAGCTGCTGATTTGCACTGGATTGCACATCCCTCCCTCCATCCCTACATTTTCTTACCAGTGAGGCACAGCTGGGTCCTATTTTTGAATTTGGAAAGCAGCACCTGGGATGTTAAAGATCATTCATTCACATGCTATATGGACATGAGATATGATGTGGCTGTGTCTGGGAAGATCCCCACAATTTCTAGTGGTAGGAGGCTGGGAAGAGGAGCGGAGTATATGGCCTGCCTGGCTTCTGCTGGCTCTGAGCTTCCTTTGCGTTTCTCTCTCATCTGAGACAGGTGTAAAGCTGTGTCCCTGCTTGAGCTGAGAATTAGCATCAGAGAATGGGGGAACGTGAAGCAGCACAGCTTTGAGACCCCTAGTACTAACTGCTTCCTTTGTTGGCTAGATCCCATTCATTCGGCAATTCAAACTCTGCAGAAGCTGTGGCCATGGGTTTGCTGAAGCAGTTTGAGGGCATGCAGCTGCCAGCTGCCTCCGAATTGGAATGGCTGGTCCCTGAACATGACGCCCCGCAGAAGGTAGGGGTGTGAGTATGTCTGTGTACAGGAGGGTGACAGTGACTGGGGTGGCACCACCAAGGTACATGGGCACTGCCTGGAGGTGCCAGCACAGGAGCAGGGCAGTACTGAGGCACGGTGATTGGAAAAGCATGCAGTGCAGAGCTCTCACTGCTCTTTGGAAATCCCAACTCACCGATTATTTGATCCTTTTCACACATTCCCTGGCTTCATGCCCACTGCCCAGGGCCTTTGCTAGTTCTGATGAAACTGGAGGAGAGAAGGATGGGTTTTGTCCAGGCCCTGCCGCTTGCTGTGCAGTGCCTTGGCTAACAGCTGAGAGGGCTGAGAGGACAGAGGTAGCAGTTTGGGAACAGCAGTGGCTCCCAAGCAAAAGTTGTGCTTGGGCACAACTGGGGCAAAATGCCCTAGAGCTGGGGCATAAGCAAGGCCTGCATGGCTGCTCACCCACTGCTCTTGCTAGGCACCTTGATTGCTTGTTTGCTGTTGGTTTTCAGGGCCTGAGATGGTCTTTAAAAAAGCTGTTTAGGCATCCTGGCTGGTATAAGAAAAGGCAGCTTTCCAAAAAACTCCTGCTGGTACGCTGGGAGTGGATGATGCTGGGAGTGTGCCTGGAGGGAACATGCATGGGCCACAGTGTGCACTAACTGCTCGACTGTCAACATGCCAAATGGTTCCTTTGTTGAGTCACCAGTGTTGGAAATGAGCTGTCGTGGGGCTGTGGGGTCTGGGTCTTGTGGAGGAACCAGAAAGAAGTGAAAAACCTCACAAAGAACAGAAGGTATCCCTAGTGGTGCCGACAGCTCCCTGGAAGGCACTCAGCCCAGCTGTGTGGCTTCTTCCTTGCCCCCTGCAGCATGTTCTCATAGGGTGTTGCTACCATATCTTCCTGGGCAGCAGTGCCTTGGCCTTTTCCTACTAATGTCTGCAGAGAACAAACTTGGCATTGGGTTTACCTGTCTTGTGCTCAGCCCTTCCCCACGGGGTTCTTCACAGAGGCTGCTGTTTGGTTTCCTTAAAGTGCAGGTTGCTCTTTGATATGCAGTTGTTCTGGGGATCTGGGTGACATACGATCAGACTCCTTGAAGGCATCACATTCAGTACCAGGATCTTCATCTTGCATGGTGCCCAACTCTGCCAGGCTCTTCAGCTTGCCCATGCCCTGAAGGGCTGAAGCATCACACGCCCCAGTGAGCTTGGAGTTAGGCTGTGCTTGGGAAGCATGAGGAGACCTGCCCAGGAAACTGGGCTGCTTGGAAATAGTGAAAGTTCCTGAAGAGCCCATATGTAAATAGGGTGCAGCAGTGTTGGGCTCTGCTCCTGCAGCCTCACACAGCAGAGTGCTCAAACCCCTGGGGAAATCCCTTCTTCCAGCCCCTCTATTCAGCCACAACAGCCTGTTGTTGGGACAGGGCTAGGCAGTAGGTGCCAGGCACCAGCCAGGTGCATTGCCTGTGTAGTTCTAGGCAGGGGTCTGATCCTTTTACCTGCCTCTCCCAGCTCCTGCCCATCCCTGACTCTCTGCCCGTCTCTCCTGATGACGGAGAACACGCCGACATCTACAAGCTGAGGATTCGGGTGCGTGGAAACCTGGAGTGGGCCCCCCCACGACCACAGATCATCTTCAACGTTCACCCAGCCCCAACGTAAGAATTCATACAGTAGAGGGCTCTCTGGGTACCTGCCCTTTCCCCCCATTTTTCCCCATTGTTTGTTTTAGGTTTTTCCATGGTTGATTGTCTTTCCTTTCCTACTTGGCTAGCAGGGCTTCTCTGCTCTCAGCCTGCTAAATCCACATTGGCCATCTCCAACTGCTGCCTGTGCTTCCTATCTTTGGTGTGCAGCAAGGCTTTCTTCCTCCACTTACCTGTCATCCACACTTTCATCGCAAGGAATGTGGATGTGCATGTCCAGAGTTGTGTCAGCACCTGTTGTCAGGTGCTGGGTGCCATCAGGCCTGGATTCACTTATGTCATCTTTTGTCTGTGGACAGGAGAAAGGTAGCTGTGGCCAAGCAGAATTACCGGTGTGCAGGCTGTGGCATTCGGACCGATCCTGGTGAGTGCTGAGCAATAGCTGGAAAGCAGGGAATAACCTGTGAGAGTGGGAAGATGCAGAGGGGGTGGATTGCAGCAGAGCTCAGCATGAGGTCATTGGGAAGATGGTATGCTCTTTCCTGCTGTCATTTCTAAGGCCTTTGCCAGCTCTGCTCACATGTCAGCATACATGTGTTGAGGACCTGTAAATGGACAGTCCTTGCAACACTTACCTTCCTATCCTTTGGTAGCCTGGTGGGTCTGCAGTGTCTGTATCCACAAATTTGAGTCACAGCTTTTGTGCACTCCTCTAACAGCATGAATTGATAGGTGGGTTGTGGTCCTCAAAGAATTTTGCAGCCTGCAGCGTGCTTTCAAGCTCCACTGTTGAGCAGTCTGGGGCCGGAGGAGGAGCTGGCAAGGCAGAACGCCTTCCTCGCTGGAAATGTTGATACACGGATGGGCAGAGCCTGCACCTCACCTGACTTCCCCCTTCCCCTGGGCTTGGCTAGATTACATCAAGCGACTGCGGTACTGTGAGTACCTGGGGAAGTATTTCTGCCAGTGCTGCCACGAAAACACCCAGACAGTCATCCCCAGCCGCATCCTGCGCAAGTGGGACTTCAGCAAGTACTACGTGAGCAACTTCTCCAAAGACCTGCTGAGCAAGATCTGGAGCGACCCGCTCTTCAACGTGCAAGATATCAATCCTGCCCTGTACCGGAAGGTGAAGTCTCTCAACCAAGTGTGGGTAAGCCCCTTCCCTCACCTTCCTGGGTGGGGCTTGCAGGGGGAGGGTGGCTGCCAGTTGTAAATCGTGCCCTGGAGAAGCTGAGAAGCGGATATTTCAGTTTCTGAAGCTTAAAACCTCAGCGCTGTGGGTTTCCGTTCATATCTTGTTTCCTGTGCAGCAGCACAGAATGGGAAGGTATTTCTGCTTGGTGTCCAGCTGGGCCTTGGTTTATTTCCTGGAGCGTGTGGTGACTGTTGTGCTCGCTGTATCCAGCATGGTGTAAACACTCCTGTACCAGGGGAACAGCAGCCGTTTCACCAATGCAGGAAATGGGGCAGACGTGTTTGGTTAAGGTCTGTGATCTGTTTACTGATCCCCTGTGTCCCTCCTTCCTCTCCAGCTGCTGCGAATCCAGCTCTTCCACATGAAGAACATGTTTAAGACCTGCCGGCTAGCTAAAGAGTGAGTCCTGGGGTGCGATGTTAAGCTGTTTGCTGTCCTGTATCTGACTCAGTTGAGTTCCTCTGCTCTGAGCTCCAGTTTTGCTGTCCTTGCAGTCTCTTGGACTCCTTCGATGCGGTGCCTGGCCACTTGACAGAGGATTTGCATCTCTACTCTTTAAGTGACCTCAGTGCCACCAAGAGGGGGGACCTGGTGCCTCGCCTGACAGAGCTCCTGAAGGCAGGCAGCCTGCACGTTGAGAAATGCATGGTAAGGCCTCTATAGCCACCTACTGCGCAGCTCTGAAACACCCTTTGGGTAGGCTTTCTGTGTAAATAGCCAGTGGGAAGGCATTTGACATGCAGAGCAATCACAGAATTAACTGATTACAAGCTTTCTGCTCTCACCTGTTCCACAGAACTGCTACCCAGCACGTGGGATATTTCTTACCCTATTTTGACTTTATCCTTAACACGTTGATTCTGCCTTGCTATGCTTCATGCTGGGGATGGACTGTCCCACATAGATAGAGCAAGACACCATATCCTACTATCCAGCTCCAGAGAGATGAGGAGCGTTGACCTTACTTTTTTCCTGGCCTTTTCTCCTAGCTGTGCCAAGCCAAAGGCTTCATCTGCGAGTTCTGCCAGAATGAAGGCGACATCATCTTCCCCTTTGAGCTCAACAAGTGCAAGACATGTGAAGGTGAGGTATGGGGAGAAACAGGAAGGGGGTCAGCAATGTCTGCTTCTTCATTTTTGAGTGGCTTTGTGCCAGTAAGAAGCATGGAGCCAAACACAGGCAGCCAGACCACAGTGCTTCTATGAACAGCTATGTCTGCACCACATGATATCAGCAGCAGATCAGCTGTTGTTTACAACAGTGTTTAAAATAATATTACAATGGTATTTGCTCATCCAGGGCAGCAGCCCTGCCCTGCAGTGAAGCATGTGCTGCAGGGTCAAAGTTAAGACTGCAGCAGTTTCAAGTTAGGTACTTTACAGCATGAGTTCTTGCTGCTTTCAGCAGTGCCAAACGCCTGCTTCTGGTGTTTGTCCTCCTGGACAAATCTGGAGCATTTCTCTGCAGGTGTGGAGAGCCAGGCAGCCTGTGCCAGCCTTCAGCTGCTCTCCTTTTCTTCCCCCAGAATGCAAAGCCTGCTACCACAAGTCCTGCTTCAAGTCCACACGCTGCCCTCGCTGCGAGCGACTCCAAGCCCGAAGAGAGCTGCTGGCCAAGCAGAGCATGGAATCCTACATCTCAGACTATGAAGATGATGAGCTAGAGCAGCAGGAGGCAGCAACAGCCACCTAAGCACGGTGCAGCAGAGGAGCAGGCACCGGGTTTATTTACACCTTCATCACCAGAGACTGAACCAAGCATACTTACGGTGAGGAGGACTGGCAGGATACTCATCATACCTGGAGCAGTGTCAAAGGGATCTGCTTTCCCCTGTACAGCAGTGTTAGGGAAGGATTACCTTCTGTCATCCAGTCTGTTCCAGGTAATGGACACCCTGGGATGCCTTGATGAGGGGAAAGGTGGTGGCCAGTCCTGTCTGCCCCATAGGCAGAAAGTGAGTCTTTACCAGGCAATCACTTGTGAGCCTGTCTGCAGCCTCCTCCTTGTCCATCTCCATCCCCTTCTTCCTGGAGGAGTCCTCGGTGGGGTCAGCACTTTCTGCTCATCAGCTGGACACTGGAAGCTCTGGCCATCTGCTCCTGGGAGAGGGAAGTCAGCTCTCCAAGTCCTCCCATTCTGCTTCTTGCTGCTAGTTTGTGTGTACATGGAAATATGGGAGGGCTTGGGGGGGGGGGTTGATGGAACATTTAGCAGTTCCCTTTTTTAACATCTGAGTTGGAACCATTGCCAGTAAACCATTGCTCTCCCTCCAGAATCGTACAGAGGAAGTAGCAATGATGTAAACACTGTATGTCAGCCCTGCCTCCCCCCACACTATCCATGCTGAGCTGCTCCATCTCCCTCCACCCTAAAGGCATTGCAATGGGGGCAGCTGGGATGCGCGGCTGTGTGAGGGGACTGCTACTGCTGGGCATGAAGCTGGAGGCAGCTCTGCATGACAGGACACAGTTAACAAGGCTTCAAACTTCGTAACCCCTTCATGCTGCTGCTCTGTGCTCCCTGAGGGCTGCCTCTTCCTGTAAAAGGGACATGGGACCTCCCCATGGCAGCAGCACCAGGGCCTGCCTTGCACGCAGCTGTCTTCTGCCTGTACCAGTCGGGATGTGTAAAGCCTCTTGGCTCAGTCCTCTGATCACCTCCCCCCAACCTCTATGTCCTGGTTTTTTTTTTTTTTTTTTTTTAAATTGGCTGGATTTGGTTTTATTTTTGTTTTTTAGATGTGGTTGTATGTATTTTTAACTGTTTGCTCCCCACCCTGAGGAGATGCTCATTTTAGGGAGCATACAATTTGTTTGGGACTTACCGGTTTAAAAACTCCAGAGCTTTCCTGCTCCTGGTTCCATCACCCCCTGACAGGGGCTGGGGAGTGCCAGGGGTTCCCTTTCCCATCAGCTCTGCTGCCCTTGGGAGAGGGGTCACCCAGTCCCTCTAGGGAACAGAGCAGGCTGCTCCCAGAAAGAGTGCACCTGAGAGAGGCCTGGCCCTGGAAATGCTGTAGCCAGGGATGCTTTATCCCATGGCACGTGTCCTGCATCAAGTCATCACAGGAGGGACACACACACCCAGCATTAGGGTGGATATTAGGAAAGATGGGGGGACCTGTGTACGTGCAAGGGTGGTGAAGGGCAGGGGGCAATATGCTGTGAGAAGGCTTTCAAGATGTGTCAAAGTATGGGGTAATGGAAGAGTTGGAAGGGCAAGGATGGGACTGGGAGAGGTGGCCGCAGGGTGACTCCAAGCCTTGCTAATAGGACAGCATCTCCTCCCTGTGCTGCAGCATCCTGCTACAACCAGCTCTAGGGGTCCCAGCCTGGAGCAGTTCCATTCCCCACCTGTTCCTGAGTTCTTGCCTCCTCCCATCTATCCTCATTTTCCCCAGGAGAGCAGCTGCTCTCCTACCTGCCCTGCAGCTGGAAGCTCTGGAGCTACCACAACTTGGTCTACCTTGCCAGCAGAAAGCATTGCTGCTGTTCTTGCCTCTGGTCCATGCGCTGCCACCCAGCTCAGCAGGACGAGCTGGCCTCCCTCCTCCTGAGATCTGGCTCCGAGCAGCACAACTTCATCCACACCATTTTGTTTGAAGCACTTTAATGTCGTGGGGCACTGGCTGCGAGGTTGCCCACATCCCGTTCTAGAAGCACTGAGTGTATTTAGAGAAAAGCAAATGGATTTTGGTTTATTTGTATTTTCTTCCCTCCATCTGAAAACAATGGGGACTTGAAACCTGGCTGAGGGCTCTGGAGCAAGGTGATGTCCAACACTAACATCCTGATGTGATGCTGGAGCTTGCCAAGGCCCCAAATGTTTCTAAGGGAGAACCACAAGCTGCCCCAGCATTTCACTGGAGCCCTCCCAATGGGACTGCTGCACAGTGTAGCAATGAAAATGCCGTCCCTAATAAACTAAGTTAATATGAGGTGGGGTTGTGTCCTGAACTTTTCTTTTTTTCCTTCTGGCAGGGAGCTCAGCTTCAGTGTGAGCAGGGACAAGGCAGCTGCATCCCTCACCGTGCAGCTGCCAACATAGAAGCTACAAACCATAAGCTTTACAACAAAGCCCTCCACCACCACCCATAGCAAATCTGTGTCAGTGCAAGCCAGCACCATGAAAAAAGCACATCCACCCATGCAGGGAGCAGTGCTAACCAGTCAGGGTCCCTCACCCCTCCGCATCACAGTCACTTGCAGCGGGTGTAGCGGCTCTCAAACTGATCCACATCAAACTTGCGCTTGCAGCCAGCATAGTTCATGTAGCGGATCTTCCCGAAGACATCCCGCTCCTTCCAGCCCTGGTCGTGGATGCCACAGATGGACCAAAGGCAGCCTGCCAAACATGGGGATGGAGCATCAGCTCTGCCCTGCGCCCACGGGCATCTGAGGGCCAGAGAGCAGGCCAGAGAGGGATTCTTTGCAGACCCCTCTCCATCATAGTATCATTTGAGTTGGAAGGGACCTTTAAAGGTCATCTTGTCCAGCTCCCTGCACTGAATGGGGACACCTACAGCTCCATTGGGTGCTCAGAGCCCCATCCAACCTGACCTTGGGTGTCTCCAGGAAGGGGCACCCACCACCACTCTGGGCAACCTGTCAGTTCTTCACTGTCCCTTATCATAAAAAGGTTTTTCCTTATATGCAATCTCTCATCCCCACGCTGTACCTGCCCATGCCCCCTCCCCAGCTTACCTACATAGCCGTTGGGGTCCATCCCATCCAGCTCATAGCGGTCGTTGAGGTAGATGGCAAACTGTAGGGCTTCCTCAGGGCTGCGGGTCCATTCCAGGATCTTCTTGGCCCAGTACATGCGCAGGAAGCCATGCATCTTGCCCTCCTGCACCATTTGTAGCTGCAGGGCAGGACACAACCACAGCAGTCAGCCCATGCCGGCTTGGCTCCAGCACAGACGCAGGTCTCAGAGGAGAGACCTCAAAACAAGGAGATGGGGGTCACTAACCTGAGCAGCGTTCCAGAGCGGGTCATGTGTGGCAGCCTGCTCCAGTTGGGGCAACTCGTAGAGAAAAGGCCGCTCGTCTTTGGCGTGGAGCTTCAGTGTGGTTTGTGCCCAGTCATAGGCGCCTGTGGGAGAGGTGAGGAGCAATGCTGAGCAAACTGCTCCCCTCCAGGTCCTGGGGGGGCTCAAGAAACAGAGATGGGTCACAGAGGGACGTGGGTTAGTGGGCATGGTGGTGATGGGCTGATGGTTGATACAATGATCTTAGAGGTCTTTTCCAACCAGAAGGGCTCTATGGCCCATCCTCTAGCAAGAACAGGGCATTGGGGTGACCACAATAGAGTATTAGCCCAACCTCAGCCTTGTCCATCAGCCCCACGGATGCTACCTTGCACACTGTCGTAGTTCTCGTTGTAGTAGCAAAAGTTCTCTGCCAGCTCCCGCCGTACCACGGCCTCCTCCACAAAAGCATCCACCGACTCCTTGTAGGCACGTCGGTGCTTCTGCACCTCCAGGATGGCTCGCTGGGTGGACACCTGGCCTGGGGGCATAGGTATGACATGAGTTGGGCCTCCAGCCTGAGCCACCAGCACTTGGCCCTTAATTAATGGGATGGGGACGGCCCGGGACACTCACCAAAGTGGAACCATGGAGAAAGGTTGCTGAGAGCTGCCTTGTTCGGGTCATTCCGCTGTGAGCCAAAGGACTTGAGCCGCTTGGTGATGAAGGACTGCAGCATGGCCAGCCCAGCAGCAGTGCCAGGAGTCGCCCATGCCACCTCTGGCACCGTGCGGTCCACCTGCAGGCTGGAGTAGCAGGCATCCCACGCAATGGGCTGCGAGCAAACCAGCAGCATGAGAGCTGAGCCGCAGCAGCAGATGCTGCCCAGCCTTAACACACGTCCCCCACGTGCCAGCTAAGGGCTGTCCCCAGCCTGCAAGCCCCCAGCTCTCACCAGCTGTCTATTAAGCAGCCCAGCACAGCAAAGATCCACTGTGAAAATGGAGATGGAACCTCACACCCCCAGGGTCTCTCCATCTCCACACCACTTGTGGGTGGTGTCCCCATTCTAGGGCCACAAAGCCATGAGGCTACCCAGGACCAAGTGCATCTCTGCAGGTACCTCTGGGGTGTTGGGTGGTGGATGTGGGTGCCGAATAACAGGAGGGAACTCGGTGAGGAACTCTGGGAGCTGGCTGTGGATCTTGGCCCGGATGGTCCTGGCACTGTACTCCTGCTTGGGGGATGTGACCCAGCAGGGCACGATGTTGTGGCCATCCACCTGGGAAAGGAAGCTGGATATGGTGATGTGAGCAGAAGCCAACATTCCTAACGGCACAGTGCACACTGTGTTCTCCAACAGACCCAGGATGTGCATCCTCCAGAGGCACCCACCTGTGCAAAGGGCACATCTTCAGGCAATCGCTCCTTGACCTCCTGCACCCACTGCTGGGGGACACGGAGGGGACAGAAGTCTGTCACCAGCCCTCCCACGCCGTGCTCCACCACGAAGCTGGGCAGCACGTCCTTGGGGCAGCCCAGCAGCAGGTGGAAGGGGATGTCCAGCTCCGCACACTCCTGCAATGAGAGGACAAGGCTTAAGGGCTGCTCCCAGCCGGCTCCATCCCACGTGCCCACTGCAGCGGCTGTACCTCGGCCACCTCCCGCAGCCCCCTCAGCATGAAGCCGTAGTGGCGGATGGTGGCATCCAGGAACTTGGGCACTAGGCAGAAGCAGACGCGCAGAGGCAGCTCTTGCTTGAGGGCCAGGCGCTGGGCGTAGAGGAAAGCCCAGTTATCTGCAGGGCGAGCAAACGGGGAACGCTTAATAGAAGCCCCCAGAGCACCCAGCACTGCAGGGCACGGGGCCGGCTCCTACCTTGCACCCGCTGGTCCCGACACATCCAATAGAGGATGCACTCGGCGCCTTCCTTCAGCTCGGAGCCCCGGGACACGAGCCGGGCCCGCTGCTTGTTGTAGCGGAAATCCCGCACCGACGGGGCTGCCCTGCGCCTGGCTTCCCGCACCGCGGCCTCCAGCGAGCCCACGGCCCCTGCATCCTCCTCCTCCCTCCCCACATCCCGCTCCTTTCTCCCCTTCCCACCGCTCCGCGGCATCCTCGGCCCCAAACAGAGCCCCCGAACCCCGGCTCGAACCCACGTGGCGGCGGCGGAGCGGGCGTTACACAACGCGGGGCGGGACCAGGGCAGAGAAATGGGCGTGATCTCTCCGCCCGGCCCCCCACCCCTTCCCCGCCCCGCAGGCCCGGGGAAGCGGTTCCGCTCCTCGGCTCGGCCCGGGTGGAGCTGTGCTCTCAGCATCGCGCTACCCCCTCCTGCACCAACCCCGTGCACGACACAACCGCCCAGCGCAGGCTTTGCCCCCAGCCTAGGGAATGAGGAAACCACTCTCCGCTCCATCCCGCGGCCGTCGGCTGCGCGCACACCCAAAGTTCCCCTCCGCTCGCGGCCCGGCCGCGGGGCAGGTGGCTGCCGGGCGTCGTGCCCATCGCTGGGAGTGCCGCGTTGGGTGGAAACCCCCTTCGGTGCCAACACCTGAGGAAACAAAAGGACCCACCTGGGTGCTGCTGGGCAAAGGCAACACGGAAACCGCGCAGCGCTGGGGTTGTGGGGAGCGCTTGGAGCGGTGCTGGCTGGAGGGTACTGAATCACTGAATCCTGCCCGGGTATTGGGTCCTGTCGGGACATGGCCGCACACAGAACAGGGCTGTTCCTGTCCCTGCTGCTGAGCATCGCCGCGTTCGAGCTGGCGCTGGGTAAGGGATGTGGGAAACGCGTGGGGGCATCGCAGCGCAGGGCTGGGGGCCACTGAGCCACCTATAAGGTGGGAACCTCGGGCTCGTCGCCATCCATGCGTCTCCCGCGAGCCTGAGGCAGCTACCGGCCCTCAGCTGTCACGGAGCTTCTGTGACTTGCAGGTGCATCCTGCTGCTCACCCCTGACACACAAGCTGAGATTCGTTTCTCACTCCCCCCCCCTTCCCCTGGGCCCCGCTCCCATTCTTTGTGCCCCGCGTTATCGGTTCCTGAACATCTGCACGCAGCTTTGTGTACGCTGCAGAGGAGCTCCCAAGCCGACCCAGGGTAACCGGTTCCTGCGGCTCTTCCCGTCCGACGGGCGGCTCTGAGTGCCGCAGGGCTGGATGGAGGCGGTGGGACGGGGCCATCGCTGGCGCCAGGAGGGGGTCCTGCCCGGAGCTGTGCCCGCTTGTCGGCCTGGGGATGTGCTGTCCTCCCACACCGCTGATCCCCACGGATCTGGATCTGCTCAGGATGGTGATCCCCGCTGTTGGCTGCTCACGGCCGATGCACAGCGTGGGGTGCCTCGGTGCCAGCACACTGGCT